TATCCTTCCTGCCTCTTCCAGGCCCATCTGTGCTGGCGTCCCCCCCGGGGCCCCCTTGGTGTGTCTGTGTCATGTCCTCTGCCTCTGCCTTACAAGGACCCCCGGGGGACAGTTGGGCTCCCGGACACCAGCCCCGGCCGATCCCACCTCACGATCCTCAACCCCGTCTCACCTGGGGCTCAGTCTCTACCTGGTAATAGTCACAGGTTTCCGGGCCCGGGAAGTGGCCACGCTTCACGCCCAGCCAGACCGCGTGTTGGAACATCTTCCAGGAGGCCACCACGCAGCTCCTGTGCTCACCAGCCCCCTCGGAGAGCATGGGGCTGCCGCTCAGGCGTCCCAGGCCTTCCTGTCCGGACCACCACCAGACACAGCTCCGGGCCAGCCTCCAGATGTGAAAGCAGACGCTGCCCGAGCTGCCTAGTGTGATCTCCAGAAAGGGTCGGCGAGGTCTGAACCAGCCACGGATGCCTGGGGGGACCCCTCCCTCTATGCCCAGTGGCAGGCCTTTCTCTCCAGGACCTCCTGGTCTCACTCAGCACACATGCCCAGAACACCTGCCGGAAGCTGCTCACGCTCACGGACACACAGAACGGTCAGACCTCAAGAGAAGACATGCCCGGGAGTGCTGTCCGTGAGACTCCGGGCGAGCCGCTGGCCGGCCTGGCCTCAGAGCCTTCGGCAGAGAAACGAGGAATGAGCTCCCAAGACACCGCCACGCTCTGACAGCGACCCACAGCGTCTTGGCCACCAGCGACCCAGAAACCAGCAACCCTTTCCGCATGCTGTGCGCCGTGGGCCAGCAAGTTCCCAGGCAGCACACGGGAGCTGCCGAAATGAGTGGTCTGAATGTGGCCAGCCCCAGAGGGTCCCTCCCACACGTGGCTTCTGTGGGCTTTAGGCTGGAACAGCAACGCTTGTCAAGCTGCAAAACCCGGTCCTGGCTCCCAGGGTGCCGGCAGCCCCACTGTCACCGGCGGCCCCGTCACGGCCTAACTCTGGTTTGCGGCCCGACGACACACAGGACACACAGTCAAGGTGGACAGAATCTGACATGCATGTCTGACTGGCTGGGGCCATGGCTGTGAGCGCTCATTCGTTGCTTCTGTGGAATATTCAAGCCCAACCGGCCCCGTATGTGTCTGCCGCGCCTGGCATTCCTTCTCCTTGCTCGGCCCTGGAAAGGTTGCAGCGGCAGCCGGGAAAGGAGGTGCCGCCTGCCCTCCCAGCCCTGGGCTCTTCCCTGGAACCCCGCTGAGAAGGCCCCACTTCCTACCCCAGCAGGCTCCGGCCTCTGGTCCCGGACTGTGGGCCTCAGCCTCCACGTCTGTCCCTACCTAGCAGGCTCCGGCCTCCAGTCCAGGGCCGTGGGCCTCAGGGCACAGACCCCCAGCTGCCCTAGGTACTCTGTGGGGCACCAGGGCCCACAGTTACTCAGGAAGGCTGCCCCAGGGGAGACGAGGCGGGAGCTGGCAAACTAAAAACCACTATGGGAGGGAGAAACAAGTCCCTCGCGGCCGACGGCAGCCCAGGTCACCAGGCCGTCCCTGAGCCACTGTCTGACTGACTGACCAGCAGGAGCTGATATTTGCTGGACATGTCCGGCCTGAGGGGCAAGGAGCTAACCGACAGAGCAGGCAAGGCCCCACGCGCTTCCACACAGGACCCTCGCCTGGCGGGGGGACCGGCTGGGCAGGAGTGACAATCCCAGTGGTGGGGGGCTTGCAGAGAAGGGAGCCAGGCCCCGGGAGGAGGGGTTCCCAGGCCCCCGATGTGGCCACAGCCAGCACCCCTACCCGGGCTTCCCCCAGAGATTTCCCGCTTGGGGGGGTCAGAGCGAGGAGACAGCTCTGGCCCTTGGCTTCCCCGCAGCTCCCACACATCCGCATCCCTGTCACTGGGCGCGACTCCCCGCCGTCCGAGCGCCAGTGGTGTGTGGGCTTATGCTGCCCCTCGGTTTCTGGTGATTTCTTGATGGCATCTTCTGTGGGGTCGCCAGACATGAGAGGCACAGAGCACAGGAGTTAAATCACTGGCCCTTGTCCCCCAGGTCCCAGGGGCTGCCTTCCTGACCCCCCGCCCATCGCTGCCCAGGGGCCCTGTGGGAGGGCTGCGCTGGGGCCGCCGGGAGAGGCCGCCTGTGGAGGAGGAGACGAACCCTCCCACTCCAGCCACCCCCACACGTGTACCTTCCACAGGAAGGTCTGCCTGCTTCCTGCCCAGCGCCTCCTCAGCACCTCCCATCATCCCTGGTGCCATCTCCCCTGCTGTCGGCTGCCCTGTCACCTCCCGCGTGTAGTCCCATGCATCCCTGGCTTGATGGAGTGGCGCAGGTGGGAGGGGGTGATGGCCTTTATGCCAGAGCCGGTCTCTGCGAGGGGAGGCAGCTGGCCGGGCAGCGAGCCCCCCACCCCAGGCTCCCGGGCAGGCGGCACAGCCTCCGTGTCCTCCTGTGCTGGCAGGAGCCACTCCTCTCCTGAGCAATCGCCCACCTCCTGACAGACGGTCACCGAGGACAGTTGGCTCTGCGGGGGAGGCAGGTCCCCAGGAAACAGAGTCACTGAAGAGCACAGACGGACAGACGCTCAGATCCCAGGGCCAGTTAGGGTGGGACGGCTGCCTGGAGGCCCTGAGGGCCTGGGACAGAGGCAAGCCATTCCTCTCCTCTGGGGTTGCCCTGCGTGTGACCCATCTTCAGAGAACATGTCAGGGCCACGTGTCCCATCCACGGCAGGCCCAGCCGCACCCGCCCCTGTCCTGTCTGTCAGGGCGAGTACAAGAGACGTGACCGAGGGCCGAAGTGGCTGGCCTTCATGCCAGAAAGCCAGCACTTTCGAGCGAGCTTTGAGGTCCCTTCCCCTCTCGGGAATCAAGTGTGGCAAATTCTGGTGCCCCTGGGGCCAGCGGCGGACAGAAAGAGGTGAGACCATTCTCTCGCCCTGGTCAGAACCAGCCATGGTCTTCCCTGAACCCTGCCCTGCCCATCCCACAGAGGTGCTGCCGCATGGTAAGGACCTCTAGCACACCCTCCATCCATTCCAGAACATTCCCCAGGGGCCATGCCCTGTCCTGAGGGCTCTCCTTCTTGTTCATTGATGGCCCAGGACCAGGGGCCATGAGCATGGACCCCAAGCAGTGAAGAGCCCCAAGGGGAGGCCCAAGGGCTGGGCTTCTCCCTGGAGGAAAGGGTACAGGGGTGGGGGCGAAGGCTGTTCTGTGCTGGGCTTCTCTGCACAGCATGGGGGCTTAAGGGGGAGAACAGGCCGAGGTGAACGTTGGGGATGGGGTGGGGGCCAGAGGCACGGGCAGGATGCCCCACCCACCACGGGCAGCGACTCTCCTGGATTCCTGGGAGGGGCCACAGGTAATCACGCTGGCCTCCACAGCCCCCTCGCGCCCCACCATTACACGAACGCCCCACAGTGAGTTCCCCAGGCAGGAACTCTCACCAGAGGCAGGCCATACCCTCTATGCCTCCAGAGCCCAGCTCATTGGTGTCAGATGAGGCCCAGCCTCTGAGCAATAGGGAATGCTGCCCCCTGCTTTGTCTCCCTGAGGACACCTGCCTCACACCTCTCCCAAGCTCCTCGGGCTATAGACAGCCTTGGGTGCTGGGAGGTTCCCAAGACACAGCATGGGTCCCCTGGGCTCTGAATCTGTGCCTTCAGAAGCTGGAGGTCATTGCTGGTCCAGAGGGGCCCGGGGCAGAAGGACTGGCTAGGGCCTGTCCACTGACCTGTCCAATGAGCCCCATGCCAGCCCTGGATGCCCAGCGGGACTATGTCCAGCCAGGGAGCCTGGCCCGTGCCTGCATGGGGCACTCCGGGGGCTGTCCACCTGGGGGACAGCAGGCAGAGGCCCTGAGGATACCAGAACAGAGCACAGACACTTCTCGGGGACACTTCCTTTGAGCACAGGTGACCCTGTCTTGAATTTCCACTTTGAGGAGACAGCCTGGCCCCTAGCAGTCCCTCAGCAGCGCTCCCACTGAGCAATCCCCTCACTACCAGGTCCCTTCTGGCCTTGCCCCGGTGGGCTGCCCCCGGCCTCCCAGGATGTCCCAGAGGAGCTCAGGCTCTGGGAGTCTGGGGGACATCCCCGGAGTCCCCACACTGGCCTCTACTCGTTCGAGGGGCAGTCATTCCCGGCTGCTGGGCCCCTCTCCAGCGGCTGCCTCTGTTCAAGATGGACTCGCAGGGAGAGGTCCAGCTTGGAATGAGGCTTGGGGAGGGGACGCTGGCCCGACTGGATGCCCAGTGCCAGACTCAGTCCAGAGGCCCTGGGAGGCCCAGGCTGGGAGGGGCACAGGTCTGTGCCTGTCCCTCACCTTGCCTAGCCCCTGGGCCTGGGTCCCACCACCCCAGTGGGTGAGCTCTGAGAGTCCCTGCCTGTCCTTTATGTGGCTCTGGGAAGCTTTCAGTGACAGGAGTAGGGCGAGTATGACACAAATCACGTGTGGAGTCGATTATCCTGCGGGGGGACTCCAGAGGGAAGCGTCCAAGCACAAGGTTAGGATGAGGGGGGTCTCCTTTGGTCCTTGGGCAGGTGCTTTCTCCTCACCAGGCCTCAGTCTACCCATCTGCTGGATGCCATCCCACTACTGACCTCTGAGTTCTTTTCTGGATATTAGAAAAGAAAGCCGCAGTTGATTCTCCCTCAGGAGGAAGCTGGTGCGTGGCCCCCAAGCACACGATCCTCCCAGGGAGAACCCTGGAAGGCTGGGAGCCCTTTCCCACAGGTGCGGGGGGAGGGGGAGGTCTGGGGGAGAGCCAGCCCCTCCTGGGCGTGATCGCTCAGGGGGACAGCTTCACCCAGGACGCCTCTGGGTCTCCAGGAAACCGCTTCCAGACAACAGCGTTCCTTAGACCCCATGGCAGCAGGGCCTGCACTCCTGTTTCCAGGGAAACTCAATCCTCAGCGTCGCGGTTGCCCCAGCAACGCCCCGGGCTGAGCTGGCCGTTTGGTGGCCAGCCCAGTGGGGCCAGCTGGGCGCCCTGACGGAGGAGCCAGGTGTGGTGCTGGGTGGTGCTGGCCCGGCCAGGGTGCCAGGAGGACACTCGCCGGGCAGCCAAGCCCCGGCTTCCTCCCAGGTCCTGGGCTCCCGTCTGAGATGAGTTCTGCCTCCAGCAAGCCCGGTGATGGGGATGCAGAGCAGACCCCACTGGGGCTGGACACCGTGATCCAGGTCAGTGGGGTGCCCGCCCTCCAGCACCCTCCTGGGAGCAGGCTCGAGGGCACCTTGGGGGGTGCATGGAGAGGCCACACCTTCCCAGCTCCAAGGGGCACTTGGGTGCTCACACGGTCAGCATGAGCACGCACACAGAAGTGCAGCATCAGCTCAGGAGAGGGGCCTGGGGAGAGACTGGACTGGGCGTGGGGAGACCTGAGCCCAGCACCCCGCCGCCCCATCCGTGCCTGCATGAGCTCAGGCCGTCAGCCCCCTTCTCTGAGCCTCAGGCTTGCGGCCTGAGGCACACGGCGGGTGGGGAGGGACAGGCAACTCTTCCCCACTGGGGTCCCACGTGCTGGGACCCCACTCACTGCTTTCTTCGTGGCAGTGTGGGAGCTACCATTGCTGGGCGGAGGTGGTTCATGCCAGTATCTATTCTCTGACTTCCAGAACTTTCCCGTGTGCATAACAGCACCAATAGTGAGGACCGCGAACTCTCCCCATGCGCCTCTCTCCTTCACTCCCTACTTCCCAGAGTCAACCCAGTGCCCGCCCCGCCATCCCACGCCCTTAGGCGCCTACCACTGCCGTCACTGGACTCTGGCCGCCACGGCAGGCAGTCTGCACCCAGATTGAACCCTCGGGGATCCCAGTGAACCCCCGATGCCCCGGCTGACTCAGTTGCTTACTAACCCAGCTCTTAGAATCTCAGGCCGCGCTGTATGGGGTTGACATGGTCCCTATACAAACAGCACAGGCGGCCAGAGAAGAGTAACTGCCCCCCGTTGTTGCCACATGATTAAATAACATGGTGGAGCCACCTTGCACACGCCCACGCACACGCACACGCATGCACACTGATGCCTACACAGGATACAATGTGATGGGACAGGATACTTGAATCAGGTGACGCAGCAAGACAAAACAAGGGCCTGGGTGGGTGACTGTCCAGCTCCCAAGGGGTGTCAGTTCTCTGGATGGAGAGAAGGACAGATGGAGGGAGGGCAGGCTTGCACACAACAGTTTCAAGACACTTTCAGCCAGGCATCCCCGAGGATCATCCTCTCTGGATTCCAGGAAAAGAGAGGCTTGAGGGTTAAGCACGTTGCTGTGGCTACCAGCGTTCGAGGGAGAGACGCCGGCTGGGGCCTTGTCTGGCAGTGGGCCGTTGCTTGGCAGACAAGGCTGCCCCCAAATCCCACTGCCTGTGGGAAACTGTCACCGAAAGTCACAAGGAGGCCCAGCCGAGGTCCACGCTGCCCGCCCAGCCAACACCTGCTATTTGCATTGGGGTGATGAAGATCTAGGTGCCATCACCCCGGGGGTGAGTAGGCAGGCAGGCGCCAAGAGATGCCCAGATAGGCCTGTCCAGACAAGGAGGCAGGGCCACAGGGCTCCTCCAGCCCCTCCAGCTGCAGACAGGGAAACTGAGGGGCCTGGGCAAGGTGTGGCTTGCCAATGGGACCAGGCCTGATGGCACTCCCCACGCCTGGAGAGCGCCCCTGCAGCCTCTCTCTGCATGGCACCCCAGGGCACCCAGCCCCTGGCCTCCCCCTCAGAGCTGGGTTCTCAGGGGGTCCGGCCCTAGAGCAGACAGGCAGGCAGACAAGAGGCAGAGCCCCGGGCGGGGAGGCCAACGCCAGAGGGCCCATGATTCTGGATTCGGTCCCCTTAAAACTACCAAAACAGACTCTCTTTCAGGTGTAGGTTCTGATTAATGATAATTTCCTAGGAATTTGTCCACATACCTAAATTTTCAAATTTACTGACGGAAGTTGTTCCCAATATCTTCTCGCTGTTGTTTTGATGTCTGAGGATCTGAAGCAGGTGGCCGCCGGCCCCTGGAGTTGAGGGGTTGGAGACCCAGGGATTCCTGTGTGACATTCGGGAGATCAGGGCAGGCCGAGAGGAGTCGGTCACCCTGAGCGATACCCGTTTTGCATTTCCGATTTCGGCCACTGGTTGATCCTCTTTACCGTATTTTTGCCTTCTATTTCATTAATGTATAGATTTATTATTCCTTTGCTTTTCAGTTCTTTGGGTTTGTTGCTCATCTAATTTTTTGAGATGTGTGCTTATCTCATTAATTTGCAGCCTTCTTTAAAAATTTTTTTTTTTTTAATGAGGCGCCTGGGTAGCTCAGTCGGTTGAGTGTCCGACTCTTGGTTTCAGCTCGGGTCATGATCTTGCGGTCATGGGATCGAGGCCAGCATTGGGCTCTGTGCTCAGTGCAGAGTCTGCCTCAGATTCTCTCCCCCTCTGCTGTCTCACCCACTCTGTCTCTCTCTCCGCACGCATGCATGCGCGTGCTCTCTCTCTAATAGATAAATAAAATCTTAAAAAATGTTTTTTTAACTTCTTTTAAAAATGTGGCAAAATATATATATATATATATACATCAAATTTACCACTTTAACCATTTTTAAGTGTGCAGTTCAGTGGCATTAAGCCCACTCACATTTATATACAACCATCACCACCATCATCTCCAGAACTTTCTCACCTTCTCAAACTGAAACTCTGTCCCCATGAAACACGGGCTCCCCAGCCCCACCCCAGCCCCTGGCGCCCACCCTTCTGCTCTCTGCCTCCATGAATTTGGCCACTCTCAGGACCTCAGAGGTGGACTCAGACAATACCTCTCCTTCTGTTCCTGATCCATTTCACTCAGTGCGATGTCCCCCGGGTTCAGCCATGTGCTAGCCGCGGTCAGAATGTCCTTCCTTTGCAAGGCCGAATCATACTCCACTGTGGGATGGACCACACCGTGTTTCTCCGCTCACCTGTTCATGGACAATTGGGTTGTTTCCACCTTCGGGCTGTTGTGAATACACTGCTGTGGACATTGGTGTGCAAGTCTGTGTTTCAGTCCCTGCCTTCACTTCTTTTGGGGATATACCCACAAGTGGGGTTGCTGGGTCCTATGGTAACTCCTTATTTAATGTGAGGAACCACCCTACTGTTTTCCACAGCAACTGTATCATTTCACATCCCCACTTTCTTTTTCTTCTTCTTTTTTGAAGGTATGCTTTTCTTTCCCAACAACGCGTTAGCTACATCCCATACATTTTGATATAATAATTTTCATTATTATCCAGTTCAAACTGTTTCCTAATTTCCATTGTGATTCTATCCATGGGTCATCTAGAGGTATAAATACCCTAATTTCCAAACATGTAGAGATTTTCAAATTGTTTTCTACACCTCGTCTGACTATATTGTGCTCAGAGGTTTTGTTTGGAACATCTTAGAGTGGACAAGCCTATTAGCATCCAAGTGGGGATGGTAGGGAGGTAAGTGGATATATGGACCTGACCTCAGGGAAGAGCTCCATGCTGGAAATAGACATGTGGGCTTGTTGGCAGATGTGTAGCCGGGTGAGTGTCCATAGAAAGAGGAGATGGAGCACTCCCACACTTACAGATGGGAAGGGCAAGAAGGAACCAGCCAAGGAGACCAAGATGGGTGGCCAATGAGGTGAGAACAACTGGGAGGGGTGGCGTCAGCAGGAGAATGTTTCAGGGAGGAGGTGGTGACCCACATGCTGCTAAGAGATCAAGGAAGATGGAGACCATGGACCACTGGGTTTAGCAACATGGAGGTCACGGGTGACCTTGACTGCAAGGGTACCTCATGGGGCATGTAGGAGCAACACTTTTTTAAAGAGGGGTATAAATTAAAACAGTTTGTGTCAATAAGCATGGTCTGAAAGAGAGAGAAAAATCACTGATACATAAGAAGAAGGAAGGCTTGCTGGACAATGTGTTAGGTACATGACAGAAGATGAGGTGGGATGGATGGGATGGAACCTGAGGGGGCCCACCCATGCGACTAGGATGGCTTGAGAGCATCATGGTGCGGCAAGCCCTCATCAGTCACTTGCCAAGGGCCAAGACCTGGGCTATTTCCAAGCCAGCCAAGGACAGAGGCACTGGCCCATCTCCGAATCTTCCATCCATTTGCCCTGATGCAGCCAAGGTCATGCCAGACCTGGTCAGATTAACCAGTTATGCTAATCAGATGGGCCGCATCCCCCTCCTCCTCATTCAGAAACACCGCTCTCCCCTCTGCCACCCCATAGTCCAAGGGGACTGTGGCGGCGCAGCCATTCAAGGCTTCCACAGTGTCCGCCTCTCCTGCCTTATTGCCCCCCATCCCTGCACCCTCCTCCCCCAGGCCCCATGCAGACTTTGAGAACCCACCCCACTGCCTTTGCTTCCGCTCTTCCCTCCACCTGGACACCTGACCTGCGCCTCCGCTAGCTGCTGGGCTCTTGCTTGTCCTTCAGGGTCCAACTTGCCTGCCACCTCCTCTAGGAAGTCTGTGTGGGCACTGCGAACACAGGAGCAAATAAGACCAACAGGGTCCTTGCCCTTCCGAGAGTTCCTTAATATAAATCATTTTGTAGTTAGTGATTCATACCTTAGGCTGGGTTTTCTGTCATTCACATGGTGACCTGTGCCAAGCACTGATCATGCTGGGGACTCAGAGATAAATGACAAGTTGTTCCCCTCACCCCAAATGCCTGTCAATGCCTGGCCCGGATCTCCCATCTATTATGAGTTGAGGACCAAACTGCCCCCCATAAGAAGCATGACCCTGCTCCTGGGGCGACACCCAGGGCCCCAGCGGGCTCCACAAATGCACAGAAATCTGAACTGGCCAGTGCTAAGACAGAGCAGCCAGGGGCCAGGTGTTACCGCAGACACAGAGGAGCTCTTTTTCCTCAGGAAACGGAGCCTGGCAGGCCACCAGCCTGGCCAGGGCCCTCTCTGCAGCAGGCCAAGCCACGGAAGGATGGCAAGCAGACGTCCGGTAGCTGGCCTTGGCTGCAGACCCTGTCCTTGGATGTGTTCTCCCAGCTGTGCCCGCTCCTGGCGAGGGCCAAAGCCTGCCGCTGAGGGATGCAGGGGGGCCTGTGGGGGGGCCCGAGTGGGCAGACAGGGAGGAGCACAGGGGGCGGCGGCCGTGGGGGGCCAGGCTCAGTTCCTCTGCCATCTGCCTGGGCTCGGGGACGTGCCACACCGGGGAGGACACCTGAGGCCAGTGTGCCTGCTGAGTCCCAGTCTCCCGCCACAGGGCAGGTGCCGGGACCCACAGGCGGGTCAGTCCTAACACTACCTTTGGTGGGTGCGTGACCTTGGGGGAGCCTCCCCGCCCATAGTGAACAGGAAACCTGCCCTTTGGGGTCACGACAGCGGGCGTGACAATGTTCGCTACGAAATCCTCAGCGGGGAATGCCCCGCCTCACTTCACTCCTGCGGGCTGGCGACCTTCCCTTCTCCACGGCGCAGGTCAGCCCCCCAGCCTCAGCCTGCTGCAGTACCGCCGGCGGCCACACAGCGGCACTGTGGGAGCTCGGCCGCCCAACGCGGCAGCCGGCCAGTCCACCCGCAGAGGGGCCGGGACAGCCCCTGGACTCGCACTCCCTCCCTCGGCCTGCTCCTGCCCCGGGAGGCTGCAGCCTGTGACCCGGCTGAGCGGGGATCGTCCACTGGACGCTCTGTCCCAGGGTGATTTTGATCAGAGGTTCTGGTGCCCCTCCCTCCCTACCACTGGGCTCATTGAACCCAGGCCGAGGTCGCGTGTGGGGGAGCCTCACCTTCTTCCGTCCCCAAGATGCCAGGCTCCTCTTAGGAGCCCATCCTTCCCTCCTCCTGGGTAACAGGCGGTCCGCGTCCGGTGCCCCTAGCAGCCTGGACGCCCAGGGGGAGCCGCTCGGGGACTTACTGACGCTGCTCCCCCAGCAACAGGAAGTAGTGAGATTGCTCTGTGTGATTTCCATTGCGGACCTACAAGGCCACCTGCCCTGCCGAGCCACCTCCTGTCCCACAGACTCCACACCCCACCCTCCGCAGAGCCGCAGCGCCCCCCCCCCAGAGCTCTGGGGTGCCCCCTCCCATTTCACAGACGAGGACCTGAGGCAGGGGACACACCCAGGGTCATGCGGTGCACTGGCAGGACAGGGACCCCAACCCAATTCCCCGGGGGAGTCCTGCTCTGACCCGGGTGGGGTACATAGGGGAGCCCACGCTCCTCCGCGTGCAGGCTCTCTCGTCCACACAGCCGCAGTGGGGAGGGGTGACCGTGACCAAGGGGTGCCCGGCCCCCTTGCAGGTATCTGTTTCCATGGGCCATGCCGAGCAGGGGCTGGGACCTCGCAGGGGCCTTTAGCGCAAGTTGAGCTGAGGAGGGCGCTGGGGGCGGGAGGAAGGGATAGGGCTGCGTTCAACTGTGAGTCTGGGGTCTTTGGGGAAACCGATGTCCAGCCCTCCGACGACGGGCTGAGAGTCCCGGGGCGGGGGGTAGCCTTCTGGAAGCCTCCCTGTGCACAGCCCGGACACGCAGACCCCACCCCACCCCCACCCCCCGCCTCGGCCCCCGACCACAAACGGCCAGCCCGGGAGGAGGGCCCCCGGCCCGCAGAGGAGGCGACCCGCCCGGACCTGCAGGGCCGCAGGGGGCGGCCAGGGGCTGCAGACAGGAAGGTCTCGGGGCGGAGGGAGCAGCCTCTCTGGGCCAGACTCAAGGCGGCCGGAAACAGGCGGCGAGCCGCGGGGTCCTGCCCGGAGGTCCGCGAGGCCCCGCGACCCGCCCCGGACGGAGACCAGGCCTCTCTCCCGGCCCCGCGCCCCATTCGGGGCTCTTCCCCTTCCCCTCCCGGCCCTCCCCGGCCCGGCCCCCTTCCCCCTCCCGCCCCTGCCCCTCCTGGGCCTGCCCCTTCCCCGCCCCCAACACCCCACGGCCCCTCCCTTCCGCGCGCCCCCCGCCGCGCCCCCTCGGCTCCAGCTGGGCCGCGGCCCATCGCAGGCACCCGGCCACAGCTGGAACCCATTACGCCCCCAGCGCCTCTTGGGACGTCTCGGCTAATAAGTGACCCTCTGTAAATGTTAGGAATGAGTCAGGTTTATGCCGCGCTGCTTCAGGCTTCCCGTTAGCGGGTGGCGCCTCGGATGCCCGGGGGAGCGGGGAGGGTGGGGGAGGGCGAAGGGGCAGAGTCGTTCCTGGCCTCGGAGGGAGAGCTTCCTGGAGTTCATTGTTCCTACAGCGGGGCCCGGGGTGGGTCTCACTACCCCCCTGAGCCTCAGTTTCCCCGCGTGCAAATACAGGGTTCAGGGCAGACAATGGCTGAGCCCCTTTAGCTGCCTTTCCCCCCAGGAGGACGTTAGACGCGGTTGATGGTCTTGGCATTCGTGCCTTGTTTGGCCCAGAAAGGGTAGCAGGCACATCCTCCCCCCCACCGCCCCGCCCCCGGAGGCAGGCTGCTCACCTCCCACCCAGAGTAATACTGAAGGGGGTCATGGGGGCGGGTGTTGGGGGATGGCGCCTTCCCAAGGCCCCCTGCTGACTCAAATTCAAGCATCACTGTGCGAAGTAAGGCTCCAGCCTGAAGAAGGGCTGGGTCCCAGGTGAACCAGGACTAGGGTTCTCACTCCAGGGGGAGGGCAGTGGAAGTTGGTTCTCGGTCTTTGCTCAGTGACCGTCCAGCACTTGGGCTGCTGTTGGGGATCAGAATGGGGCCTTACCAGGTGTCATGCAGGAACCCAGGTCTCAGGGCGGGGGGGTGACTCTTGGCATTCTGGTCCAGATGGAACATGCCTTGTGTCCAGGGACACCTCAAAGGTGTGTGTGCAGAAGATGCCAGGCTGGGATCTCAGGAAGGAAGAACAGAGAGAACGTACCAGGGCAATGGGGTGCGCAGAACAGGGGTATGCCCAGGAAGCCCTCCACCCCCACCAGCCAGGGGCTGAGTGTCAGAGCCAGGTGGAGCGGTCTGAACCTGGAAAGGCTTCAGGGAGAGCTGGGAGGAAATCAGAGGAGGGAGGGGAAGGCAGTAGGAGGCTGCTCAGTGGTCATCAGGACCCTGGGCTGGGAGGGAGATTTGGGGAGTCACAGAGCGAGGGAGCAGGCTCTGAGGGATCACAGGGAGAGGGATCCTGGGAAGCTACAGGACGGATGAGCTTCAGAAGTCTGGGACTGGGTGGGGGTGTGATGGGAGGACCCCGGTTTGCAGCCCTGGAGAGTCACTGTCTCCAGGATCCCCTGGGAAGCATCCGGTGATCTTGTCACACCAAGCCCTCTCACATCCAGAGTGAAGAATGTCCTTCCCATGGCCACAGTTAGACCCAGCAAGAAGGGCCCTGCCTGGGCCCAGGATTTAGAGGGCACCCCCCGGCCCTCCCCCAGCTCTGCCCACCTCATGATGCAAAGAATCCCCAGGGCAAAAGCAATGTGCCAACTCAGAGCCCAAGACCTCCTGACACCAGTCTCTGTGTATCCAGGACCCTGGGATTTCCTGCCCACTTGCAGGCCTCCTGAGACCTCTCCCATGGCAGGTCAGCTGCTCTGGACGAGCCAGGAAGGAGGGCTGTCCTCACTGCCTTCCCACAGCCCCTCCCGTGGTTCCTGCCCTGCCCTCTCCCAGGGCCCCCTCGTGCCCTTCCTGGTGGACAGGGCGAAGCCCTGAGTAGCTGGCCGTGTCCAAAAAGGGAGGTGGGTGGGTGGGCCTAGACCCTTACAAGTTGTCAATCCCTCCCAGCAACCCCCACTGTGAAAGTGGTGAGACCGTATGCTGCAGGCGGTCGGGACCGGGACCGGAGCAGGGATACCTGCCTCCCGGTGCCTCTGGAGACACCCACCGTGAACACTCAGCCCGGCCCCCACAGAGGTAGAGCAGGGCCAGAGGGCAGGGCACAGTGACCAGCTAGGCTAGGTGTCCTCTGGGTCCCCAGTGCTCAGAGCACCGCCAGGTTACTCTATAGGTAGAGAAACCAAGGCATGTGCTTTGGGTGGTAGCCTCACGCCGTCCTCTGCAGAGCACTTGGCGGCTGGGCCGGGGAGCCCTGTGGTAGCCCCCAGGGACCCCAGGGGGCTCGCTGTCCAGGAGGCTGCTAGCCCCAAGTGTGCCGGGATGGCTGTTTTTCAGAGGCTGGAGGACACCGTCTTGAGTCCCACGGCCAGCAGAGAAGACCGGGCGCTGACTGTACGTGGGGAAGGCCAGCAGGCTCTGCCCACGCCTGTACCTGCCCGAATCCGTGAGATCGTGGCTGGCAGCCTGGGGGACACACCACACCAAGGTGACGGGCGGTGGTAGGGGTGACGATGGAGGTGCGGGGGCACCAGGGGAGGCACAGAGCCATCAGCTGGAGTCCAGCTTACGTGCGTCCCCTGCCCCTGCAGTGTCCCCCTCCGGGTTCCAAGCCCCACCTAGGCTGGCCCCTCCTGTCATCTTGCAGTGTGATGGGGCACCGAACCACGCCCTCCCCGGGGTCACCCACAGGGGTCACGTGTCCAGACCCACAGCATGCTTACCACGAGGCCACAAGGACTGTCCAGCACTGCATTTGTGTTTGTGACACATTTGTGACCAGCTGTCTTGATTTCATCATATTTGTGTTTCATTAGATGAGCAAAAATCCTGAAGGTCGATACTCAGGAAGCACAGACACTGAGCAGGCCCCCCGCACCCTGCCCCAGACCTCTGCTCACCCAGCCCACAGGCCCCTTGGGGCAGAGTGCTTTGCAGCTAAGGAACTGGCCCCAGGCTGGGTCCCTGCAGCAGGGCCACCCAACTGGTCAGGCCACTTGGCCCTAGCTAGTGCTGGGGACTCCCTCGTGTGTGGGTCCCGACACCCCTTTCTATAGTAAGGGTCTGTCCAGCCTCCTGAAGGAACCAGTCACTCTCAGAAGGTGTGTGTTAAGGAAGAAGAAAGCCCGCTGTGTACTTAGAAAAGAAACTCCCTATTCAGATGAGATCGGGTTACCCTGACTCAGCAGTTCTCCCTGCTTCACAGGGGGCGGGGGTCCCCAGTGTCCAGGCCACTCCCACACCCTCCGCTCTAATTGGTTTGGGGCTGTGCTGGGGTTAAAGGTGTGGATGAGAGGTAAGGCGTCGGTGGCCCGCCCTCCAACAGGAGCGGGAGGGAGGCCTGGAGCATGAAGTCCACATCCCCCACACCAGGGTCCCGGGTCACAGCTGGACCCTCCTGGAAGAGCGGGGCAGACCAGCAGTGGGAGCCCAGGGACCGGCCCAGAGGCCCACCATGGGGACTGGGTGCCGTGTCTGAGAAGGTGGGGGGCCCTGGTCCGGCCGCCCAGGCTGACGCTGGAACTGCCCCTACAGGGGTGCAGGGGCCGCTGACCGCCTCGGCCCGTGTGCAGGAGGAGAATGAGCTCCTGCAGGACGAGCTGGCCAGGCTGGAGAACCTGCTGGCCCAGGCAGGCACTGAGCAGGACGAGCTGGCCAGCAGGTACCACACGCTCAGTGAGCGGGTAAGCGTGTGCACCGGGCACGTGGCAGGCAGAAGGCTGCAGCCTGGCCTGCGGAGAGGTGGTCACCTGCTGGGACTGGTGGCCAGACAGCTGGGACCATCGTTGAGTCTTAGGACATAGAATGACAGGTGACGTCAGCCACAGCACATCTAAATCCCAAACCACAGACGGGAAAACGGGCTGGAGGGGGAGGGTGAGGATAGGACGGGTGTCCAGGCCCCCTCTCCCTCCTGCAAAGTTCCCCCCAAGGTCTCCCAGCCCAGCTGAAGTGTTGACTTGTGTCCTGCCTGCCCAGGGGCTTTGTGGAGGCAGCCAGGTCAGTACTGAGCCCTCAGCCCCAGCACCTCACTTTTGGGGTCTGCTAAGAATTGGCCCCAACCCTCAGACGGCGCTTGTAGAGACTTGGCTCTGCCCCCTACCCCACACTTTTTCCTGACAGCCGAGGCCAGGGCAGCCCTCAGAGGATAGCTGTGACCCCTGGGTCCTCGGTCCCCAGGGCACCCACAATGCTTTCCGCCGCAGCAAGAGGCCATGTGGTTATAAAGTGTGGGGTTGGGGGGCCTCCTGTTGTTCAGGTGGGGAAACCATGGCAGAAAGCTGAGGAAACTTGCCAGGCCAGATCCTCTTTCCAGGGTCTGCCAGTCCGAGCCCGATGGCTCCTGACGCGGGACTGGGCTGCAGATGCCCAGCTCCCAGTGTGGGGTACTCAGAGCCCTTGTTGTGTCTGGCCCACCCCACCCCTGCTGTCTTCAGAGTCCTCCTTGCACTACGTGGCAGGATAGATGACCCCACTTTCTGGAAGAGAAAACTGAGATTCAGAGCAGCCAGACTTGCCCAGGGCTGTGCTGCCAGTGTTGGAGCTGGGACTGAACCAGGCGCTGGCCCTTTCCCCAGCATGACCAGTGACCCATACCAGCTGCCCGAGGCCCCCAGGATATCCGGGGCTTCCAGGAATCAGCAGCACCACCAGCCCCCACACTAAACACCGGCTCTCACCGCTGCCCCCATCCCTAGTGAGCCCCTCAGGGCAGGACCATGGGGTCATCCTCATCCCCATCAGCTCCAGGAGGACATCAGCGAGCTCGCCTGCCCTCCAGGGCTGTCTGTGTCCTGGGCCCAGTCGTGGGGGTGGGGGACCTTCCTAGCACATGGTGGGGAGATGTTGGGAACCGGTGGTGGGAATAGAAGCCAGAAATCCTGCGGACAGATTAGTAAGCCTCATGAGTCAGAACTGAACTCCCAGACCCCGCAGCTCAGCGCACATGTCAGGCTCCCACGGGCGTCTCAGCCTCCCCCTTGTGCAGGCGCCAGAGGGGCCCGGCCGCCCCCACGTCACCCCGAGCAGATGGGCAGGGCGGGGCAGGGGTCAGGGGGGCCAGTGTGACTGCTCTGTGGTCACCCCCAGCCCCTGCCCTGGCCTCCTGGCTCTCCCGATTTCCCCGTGTCTCAGCCCCCCACCAGCCAGCCTGCTGGGCCTGAGCTCCCCTCCCCAGACACCCCAAGTGTGCTCTGGGTCGGCACAGCCAGGGGCAGCCCCTAGCACCTCCTGTTCCCCTTGGAGCTCTAGGCTCCCTGTCTGCTCAGGCCCCAGCTGGGAGCCAGGAAGGACGCAGGCTCTGAGGCAGGCCTGGTCCAGCTCCGCTCGGAAAACCCCCTCCCCAGCAGGCTTGCCCAGGGTGGAAGTCCACTTGTGGCCGTGGCTGTGGGGGCGGGGTAGCTGGAGGGGCGGGACCCCACACTTGCGCTCTCTCAGCGGGGGTGACCGCAGGCCCGCCCTGCAGTTCAGCCATCCTGCCCTTTATGAAGCAGCCCCGGAGGCCCCCTCCTCAACCAGCCACAGGCACTTGGCCCAGGGTCGGGGGGGAAAAGGCCTGCCCCTCGGCCCCATCCCCATCGTGTGGAGGGGCCTCAGCCTCAGCAGACCCCTGCTGGCGGCCTGAGGGGTGCTCTCTCTCCCACCTCGGGGAGGGCTTTATGCCACAGCTGCCCTGCCTGGCAGGGTCGGGAGCTGCTGGCCAGGTGGGCTGCCATTCCTCCCCAGCTACAGGCCCGTCTGGAGACCACCGAGGCTCGGCTGCGGAGGTCGGAGCTAGAGCACAGCGTGGACCTGGAGGAGGCCCTGGGCCGTCTGGAGGCCGCTGAGCAGAGGTGGGTCGGGACTGATGCGGCAGTCAGGGCTACCGGGAGCTCGGCGATCACCCCTGGAGGCAGCAGACCCCACTGTGCCTTGGGGCCGTTGGCCAGTCTCTTCCCAAAGTGACTCCAAGTCAAACTTGCCTGGATGCGTTGGCCCCAGGCTTCAGAGGCAGGGGAAAGAGTGGGCAGAGCAGGGTGAGGAGGGGGACCAACAGGCTGTGGGCCTCAGGTGTGGGGTGCAGGTCCCATAGGTCTGGGGGTCTCACCGGCCCTGCGCTCCCGAGCGTGCCACCTCCAGGCCCCAATGCCACCGAGCTGGTGCTCTGGCCAGCGCCGCAGGCAGGCCCCCTGAGCTGACCATGGCCCTCGTTAGCACAGCTGGTCCCGGGGCACCCATGGGTGCTTCCCTCAACCCCACCCTTCTTCATGCTCCGGCCCTGACTCCCAGACCCCTTTGGCTCAGGCCACTCTGACTTCATGGTCAGGGGCTCCTCTGTTCACCAGCGGCCAGCACGTGTCATGCCCTAGCCTCCCCAGTGGTAACCCCAGTTCTCCAGAGTAGCCCCTGACCCCAAGCTCCAGGACACAGTCCCCGGAAGGGAAGGGGCATGTCTCCACACTGCAGGGAGAACAGCCAGGAGGGGTTGAGACCCTGAGCTCGGCTGCGTCTCCAGACCTGGGGGAGGTTAGAACATCTGTGGAGTATTTCCCGTTACTTGCTTCATCCTCAGGGACTCTGGGAACAGAAGGAAAGTGCTGAGAAACATTTCGAAAACCAGTTTTCAAAAACAGCAGGGGCAGGGGTGAGGGGTCACAACCCAAGAGGAGGTGATGCCCAAGTTGAAAGGGGAGCAGAGAAGGTCCCTTTTGCGGCCTCGCAGACTGGCCAGGAGGGCTAGCTCTCGGAGGGCCGCTCTACCCATCACGGCCAGCTTCAGAGGAGAGAGGACCCCACGGTCACAGGGGGGCTGCCCCCTTCATGGGGTGTGCCGGATGTCCTCTCCCCACTGCCCTGCCCCTTCCTCCCAGGCCCGGTCCCCTCAGCTGCCAGACCCGCCCCTCTCATGCATCTCAGGGCTCACCCCTGAACCTGGGACGGAGCCCGCCGCACTCGTGGGGCCCGGCCGGGGACGCTCCGCATGGGAGGAGGAGGGCGAGCAGGCATCTCAGAGATGGAGTGTGCCAGGGGGCACTCAGATACTGGCCCCAGTTTGGGGAGCCGTGGGTGCCCCATCGCAGGAGGTCAGTGCCGCTTAGCGGTGGCTTGGGGCTCTTCACACCCCAGCTGGGCTGGCTGGGCCCAGGAAGCGTGGGGCTTGGCTCTCAGAGCCTTTGGAAGGAGAAGCCCCCTGCCCGTGGTCATGCTGCTGCGGTTTCTGCCCCGCCAGGAGCACCGGTCTCTCGCAGGTGAACACCCTTCTGCGGAAACAGCTGGAGCACATGAAGAAGGCCAACGACAGGCTGGCCGAGGAGCTGGCCAGGAGAGCGGACAGCGTGCTCCACCTTCAGAGCGAGCTGGAGCTGAAGGAGGCACAGCGCTGGACTGAGAGACAGGTGCTTCCCCGCTTTTGCCCACTGGCAGGGGACACCTGTCCTGGTGCTTATGGCCCACGGCAGGGGGGAGGCAGTGGGGGCCGGGAGAGGGTGAATTGGCTCTAGCTGTGGTTCCTCCTGGAGGGCAAGGCCGCCGACCTGCTGCCCCACCATGTTCCCCATCGAGCTGGGCCACAGCAGTCTACAGAGTGGGGGCACCAGGTTAGGGAGGCCCTTCCTTGAGAACAGGCAGGCAGGACCCCAAGATCAGACTTGGAAAGTAGGATGAGGGCCCAGGGTCCTGGCTCTGGCATGGCCTGCCCCATTCTTTTTTTTTTTTTTAAGATTTTATTTATTTATTTATTTATTTGAGAGAGAGAATGAGAGAGAGAGAGAGCACGAGATGGGGGAGGGTCAGAGGGAGAAGCAAACTCCCCGCTGAGCAGGGAGCCTGATGCGGGACTCGATCCCGGGACTCCAGGATCATGACCTGAGCCGAAGGCAGTCGCCCAACCAACTGAGCCACCCAGGCGCCCCTATGATTTTATTTATTTGAGAGAGAGAGAATGAGAGAGAGCACATAAGAGGGGGGAGGGTCAGAGGGAGAAGCAGGCTCCCCGCTGAGCAGGGAGCCCGATGCGGGACTCGATCCCGGGACTCCAGGATCATAACCTGAGCCGAAGGCAGTCGCTTAACCAACTGAGCCACCCAGGTGCCCCGGCCTGCCCCATTCTTGAGAGAGAAGGAGGTCTCTGTAGGCCTGACTCCTGCTCGGGCTGCAGGGGCGGGGGGGCACTCGAAGGAGCCTGGGGCCACACCGTTGCTCCCAGCCCCTGGCCAGCGCCAGCAGGGCCCTCCCAGGCCTTGCCTAATCACAGTCTTCCGAAACCCTAAGCCCTTCAGGGGCTCAGGGCACTGTGCCCTAGGCCGCAGCCCCCGGGGATGGTCGCAAATGGCAAGACCCCTGGCGTGAGCTGGGGGAGATGCTTGGGACACATCACACCCTGCTCCCCTGCCTGGTCCAGGTCTTCCCACAGCTACGCTTGTGGCCACTGAGTGAAAAGAGGCATCCACGCCTCTGCTCTGGTCTGTCCTTGGACACAGGCCCCTGAGAGGGGCACGGCCCGGGGCAAGGCGGGCCTCCGCAGCTGTGGCCATCCCTAAAGGGGGCAGGTGTCCCCACGGCCTTCCTACTGTCCTCTGCCGGCGCCACTGGCAGGATTCTTCCCAGACACCACCTGGAAAATGGCCGCTTCCAGGTGAAAGCAGAGGCCAAGGGCGGCCAGCGTGCCTGGGCCTCAGGCTGACCGCACCCAGACGTGCCTCAGACAAGCCACCTCCCAGGGCCGTCCTGCACTGCCCGCCCAGCGTCAGGCGAAAGGACAGCTGGCTGGGCCCCCGCAAGCCCGGGGCATGGCTGCCACGCGGGACGGCTTGGCCCCTGTGCCCGGCTGTGTGTGGCTGTGATTCGGGGGAGGCCGGGTGGGCCCTCCTGCTGTGAGGAAGCGGAGGGCCCACAGAGGGGGAGTGCCACATTTACACGTGTCACCGAGAGGCTGCGTCTGTCCCTGCAGCGTAGTGGATGATAGCTGGGGGCCTGTTAGAGGCAGCCCACCACCCTGCCCCCACCTCCTCCTCCTATGGCCGGGCTGTGACTGCCAAGCGGAATGAATGCCCTGGAGGACAGGCCTCTAGTTCAGCTTGGATTGTCTTCATTTCCCCCTTGGCCGTGGAAGGTCTCATGGTCGGCAGGTGCTCTCTCTCAGTACCTTAAAGACCCTTTCGTTGTCCTCCGGCTCTGTGGTCACTGCCAGAAGTCAGTGTCCAGGGCCTTTGATGCTGGTGACTCCCCGCAAGGGTAATCTGTCCTCCCACCTGGCAGCTTTGACGTCGCCGTTCTGCGGTTTTACTAGGATGCGTCTCTGTGCAGATTTCTTTCTGTTTATTCTGCTTCAGACTCATCGGGATGCTGTGTCTTTGTTACTTTTGGAAAGTAGCCCTCACGTCTCCAAGCGTTGCCTGTGCTCATCCTCGCTCCTCCCAACCCCGAGCAGGCCAGCCGCTCTCACGAACCCCTGAGCCCCCCAGGCTTCTGAACCTGGCATGTCTTCTTTCTGTCACCCTGGTTTGTATTCTAGACAATTTCAAATATACCTACCTGGTCAGCATGTCTGTCTCTGGTGTCCAAGCTCTGTTAAACCTCCCTGCTTTGCTTAAATTCCAAATATTGTGTTTTTCATCTTTAAGAATTCTGGTAGATTCTTTTCCAAATATCTTACTCTTAACTCACATGTTCAAGCCTCTCGTCTACTTGCTGACGCATCCTGAAAATGGTTATGTTCTCCAATGCGTCTGATGTTCCAACGTCTCGAGTTCCTTAAGGTCTGATTCTATTGTTTCTGCTGGCTCTTGATCATAGTGCTCTGTTTCCTTGTGTCTTTAGTGATTTTATTTTTTTATTTTAAACCAAGAACTGTTTATTTTTCTTGGAACTTTGGGAAAGTTCTTCAGAACCTGGAATGGATGTGCTATCTTCCAGAAAGGGTTTTCATTTGCTTCTGACAGGTGCGTAGGGGCTCTGATAGTCTTTGGGGCCACAATGAAGTACGTTTTCAGCTTGAGTTTTTTTTAAGCCACCAGGTTATATGACTTCAGACTGAAAACTACAGGCTGACTTGTGGCCCCATATCCACAGGGAAGATCCTTTTCCTTCCCGTTTTACCACCAGGCTGCTGTCACAGAAGCACAGACCGGGGCTTATGTTATGTTAACATTAATTCTCACAGTTCTAGAGACAGGAAGTCCAAGATCAAGGTGAGAGACTATTCAGTGTGTGGCCAGGGCTGCTTCCTGGGGCCTGGACAGCTCCTTCTCACTATAACTACACACACACACACACGCACACACACACGCACACGCACACACACATGCACGCATGCACCCACACGCACACACACGCGGACAGCTCCTTCTCACTATAAACACACACATGCACACATGCACACGCACACACGCATGCACACACGCGCACGCACACACGCGCACACACGCGTGGACAGCTCCTTCTCACTATAAACACACACATGCACACATGCACACGCACACGCACACGCACATGCACACACACGGTGGAGGGGGCGAGGGAGCTCCCCGGGGCCCCTTTATGGAGGGCGCTAACTCCATCACGAGGGTGGAGCCTGAAGACCCCACCTCCAAATCCCATCCCACTGGGGATTAGGTTTCAACATTCAAATTTTAGGGGACACAGACATTCCATCCACGGTACCTCCTTACAGTGTCCTGCAGGCAGGGCTGGTGTGTGCATGCGTGTGTGTGTGGGCACCTGGGGGTTCTGGTCAGTCACAGCTGGCGCCCCTTACTTAGAGAGCAGCTTTGAGACCTCACTCATGAGTGTGGGCAGACTCCCCCTTTGGATGGACCCCAGGTTTTTTTCTCGGTCCCCTGAGCCTGTGGTCAAGGAAACATGCTCAAGTTGCTGAGTGTGGCAAGAGGTTGCCTGTATTCCTCTGGAGTTCCTGACCTCGCTGGTTCCTGGCCTGAGGGCTCCTCCCCACGTCAGCCCGCCCAGCCTTGCATTCCGGAAGCTGTGAAGCCTGGAATCTAATGTAGTTTCATCGTCGTTATTGGGCAGGCCAGGCCAGGCATCTGCTCCTCCAGGAGGCAGGTCTAATCCCTGCTCTTTGATGATCACGATGGGGGTGAGGGGAACGGTGCAAGTATACAGAGGACTCTGGTCCCAGGCACACAGGGGCCTACAGCGAAGTGTTCCTGGGCTCAAGGTGGGGACCTCAGATGTGGGGTCAGGACAGGGGATCGGCAAAGGCTTCATGAAGGAGGGAGGGTGTGTGGGTCTTGAGAGCCGGCAGAAGTGAAGGCACTCTGTCTGAAAGCAGCGTTTGAGAGGCGCCTGGAACAGGCAGGGAGGGCAGATGTTTGGGAGTATGGGGCAGTGCTGGGCCCACGGTGAGCCTGCTGGGGTCGCGGGAGGTCAGCACTCAGGACACAGCCTAGTGCAGGGCCCAGGAGGGTGGCGTGGAGACTCAGGACCCCTGGGCTTCAGCTCAGCTCCCTGAAAGGCTGACACTGCTGGCCACACACAGCCCCATCCCATTACTGCCCCCAGCTCCGTCCCCTGTCCCTCCCCCACAGTCCTGCAGTGGCCTCCTGCTCCACCATTACTACCCAGTTCACTCTGCCCTGTCTCAGCGGGCGGCTTCTCCACCTTCCCCTCCGTGAGCTCCACATGGTAGAGGCTTCTGTGTCCCTGGCACCTTCAGGGACCAAGCGCCACACCTGGACATGTTAGGGGCTCCCCTAGAGTAAGAGTTGCTCTCTTGGTGCTGGAGGAGGAAGGGAAGCCTCTGGGGGGAGGGGGTGGGGGGCGCACAGTTGCTGAGGGCTGCAGGGAGACGAGGCTGGGTGAGTCCTGGTTCTGGGCAGGACCTGGGTGTGGTCACTTCCCCAGGTCCTTGGGGTGGGGGAGTGAGCACTGCTCCCCAGGAAGCAGGCAATTTGCATTATTTGGGAAGATAAGCCCATGGGAAAGGGGGCTGCAGGACCATAGGTGGTGCTGGGTCTGCTCCCTGCCATGGGAGACAGCCCAGCTTGGCATCCAGAGGAGGGGGCTGTGGAGAGGGTGAGTGGGGTTGTGGGGCTCCTCTCACCTCCCACACCGGAAGCAGACTCAAGCCTCTTGCTTTCAGAGCCAGCGCACACACTCAGGGGGGCCCCAGGACTTCCTCCTCCTGTGGAGACAGGTCACGGCACTCCGCATACAGCTGGCCGAGCTGCGTGCGACCACAGAGAGGTGAGGGCACGGGGTCCACTGGGTTGGCCCCCCAGGTGTGGAGGAATGGACAGGAAAGGCGAGCGATGTGGGAGAAGCACAAACAGACAGAGCAAGGTAGGCAGATGTGCAAGGGGAGAGAAGGCAGTGGGACAGGCCAGTTAGGGGGATGCTGCAGAGGGGAGGATCCGTAGGGCAGAGCCTCAGGGCCCCTCAGATCCCTTTGGCACTTCACACAGGTCTGACCTGGGATCCTTGAGGTACATGTCATGTCAGCACCCCATTCACATAGCAGGAGACTGAGGCTCAGAGGGTCGGTGTCGTGCTGGAAGCAGAGAGCCTGTCCTGGCCGGCCCCAGCTCCCCCTCCCCAGCTGGGATGTGCTGGAGGCTTCTGAGGATGGCAGGGGAGGGGGTCGGCTGTGGGCAGAGAGCAGGGCCCAGGTGACCAGATCCTGCTTCTCCCAGTGGCTCGCAGCCTTCGGGCCCGGAGCCCGTGGACAGTCCTGAGGCTCAGCTGGGGGTGCTGCCCTTGTATCCCAGGGGTCTCACGGACATGCGAGCGGAGGCGGCCAGGACGGCCTGGCGCCTGCAAACGGCCTGCCTGAACCTTGACTCCAACCTGCGTCTGTCAGCCAGCAGCGGGGCCAGTGCCCTGGAGCAGCAGGCCCTGCAGGCTGTGCGGCTGGAGCAGCAGCTACGGGACAAGGTGCAGGAGATGCTCCAGCTGCAGGGCCGCTGGGACGCAGAGAAGGTGGCGCTCCAGGCCAGGTGGGTGCCGGGCGGCAGGCGCAGGCGGGCCGGGAGGCTGGACCTGCCAGCCCTCTGCTCACGTATGTGGTGGCGCTCCTGGCGGCAGAGGGATGGTCCCCAAGATGGTGGGCTCACAAGTCCCTAACCAACCTCCAGAGGCCGAGCGAGAGCGCCCGAACTTTGAGGGTTTCAGGGGACGCTGCAGTGGACGCATTTGGACTGTGTCCTCCTAGCTGAGTCCCAGAAGTGGACTTTTCCGGCCTAGAAGCACATCCCTCCAGAGGTGGGCGCCTGCTTTGAGGTAGCCCGTTTAAGAAGCTGAGGCAGGTGGGGGGCCCAGGTCTACTCCTGGTGCAAATGAGCCTCAGAGCAAGCACACGAGGTTTTGGACGCAGAACCATGTCGGTGGCTCAGAAATCTCGGGAGGGCAGCTTCGGCAGGCAGTGGGGAGACAGCGCCCCAGGGAAGGCCTAACCTGCTGGCCCCGGCGCACAATTCACAGAACCTAGGATCACTCGGCCACAAACACCTGCAAGCTGAGGGGAAGAAACCTGCCCTGCCCTCAGGGGGCCAGCTGAGTCCAACAAACCCCAGAGCAGCCCCAAAGGAGCATGATGGCCCAATGCAGCCTGCAGGGGCTTCACCCCAGGGCCTGCGCCAAAGATGCTGGGGCCTCAGGAAGGGAGACCCAGGTGCCACGGAGGGGAGCCAGGGGTCTTTGAGAAGAAGGTGGCTCCTGGGAAGGACGGGACAATGACATCACTTGTTAGATTTCGGTGGCTGAGGCGCTCTAGGCAGAGGAAGCAGCTGGACCAACGGCCCTAAGGACAGGGGCAGGGCCTCAGGGGCCACCAGCCATGACGCTGGAGAGCAAGTTGGGGTCAGGGTGGGGGCCTGAAATGCTGAACTCTGATTCTGCACGTTGCTCCAGGGACAGTGGGGGCCACTGAAGTTTCTAGAGCAGGAGAGAAGTGTCTGACCAGGCAAGGGACTAAGGCCCGCTCGGCCAATGCCAGGGTGTGGGCCACAGCACAGGGGGAGTGTGGACACAGCCCGTGCATCTTCGGGGCCCCCCTGCACCCTGGGCTTTGTTCTCTGCTCTGACAACCCTTTCCCCGGCCCCCACCTTTTCTCCAGGGTCTCCAAGCAGACGCTCCTGGTGGAGAAGCTCACAGAGCAAAACTCGAAGAAGGAGGCAACCATCTCTTCCCTCAGAATGCAGATCCAGAAGCTGGTGCGTGGGGCTGCGAGAAGGCGGGCGCAGGGTGGGGGTTCGGCGCCGGCCCTGCTGAGGCATCTGCTCTGGCCACAGCAGTCCCAGCGCACCAGAGGCCAGCTGCTAGCGGGCACCTCAGAGGACGACGCCGAGTCCCTGCAGCACGTTCCCAAGAGCATCCCGGAGGTGCAGGCCCGTCTCGGTCCTTCCTGGGGTAACGCGGCAGAGGGGCTAGGATCCTGATGGCTGACCCTCCACAGGATCTGGAAGGGCCCTGCCTGGCCACAGCCCTGAGCTCTCTCCCTCCATCCCTTCCTCTCTGCACCCTGAAGGTGGCCCGGGCAGATGCCGGGGGCCCAGAGCTGGCATGGGGTGACAGTGCTGGAGCTGAGGAGGCCCGGGGCCCACTGAGGAGGCCCACGCGCTCTGCGTCCCCCCACCGGGGTGTGTCCCCACCGCGGGCCCGCTCCCCGGACACCCCGGACCCCACACTGCAGGCTGTGCAGACAGCCTTCGGGAGGCGGCGGCTGCAGGAGCAGGTGGGCAGCCACGGGGCTATGCACAGAGGGCCATTAGCCGGCCTGCCCGTGGCTTACCCAGGGCCGGACACCCCCCAGGGAGGGAGGCCGGGGTGCCAGCGAGGGGAGCCAAGGGCCTTTGAGAAGGAGGCGGCTCCGGGGAAGGGTCTGGACACAGCCAGTGCATCTTCGGGGCCCCCCGAGCTGCAGCCCCAGGGAGGGGGCTCCGGTCTGCAGTGCAGCTCTGCTGGGGGAGTCTGGTCCAAGGCCCGCCTAGGCCAGAGGGGGCTCACGCTGCACGCCCGCCCCGGGGCAGGAACTGCGCCTGCAGCTGGAGTCCTCACAGGCCATGGCCGCCAGGCTCCGGGAGCAGCTGTCTGAGAGCCAGCAGGAGCTGCAGGCCTCAAGGAGGCTCCTGCAGGAGCGGGTGCGGGAGCAGGTGCAGGAGCGCGAGGACCTCCTGCGCAGGCTATGGACGCAGAGCCGGGAGGCACAGCACTGCAGGGCGACCAGCGAGCTCCTGCGAAGGTGACCGCAGGGCTGAGCGGGGCAGGCCGGGCAGTGCCAGCCGAGGGGCGCTGCCAGCAGGAGAGAGAGCGGGCCCACCTCCAGGACAGAAACTGCTCCTGGCAAGGCCGCCTCCTTTGGCCTCACCTTGTCCCCTCAGCCCCACAGCCCCCTGCCTGCTCTGAGTCTCCTTGCCCTCATCTGCGCCCACCTGGGCTGCCTCTGCCCAGGCTCAGCCTATGCCCTGCCCCCTCCACCTGCATCCCCAAAGTGCAGCCTGGTTCCACCTGCATGCTCTCTCCCCGCTCCCGCCTGACTCCCAGGACTCCTCCCAGGAGTCCTGTCCATCCTTCAGAAATGGTCCGTAAATCCCCAAACTCCCTTCCCTCCACATCCATTGGGGCGGACTGAGAGCCCTCCTGGGCTGTCCTGTGGATCTGGTGGCCTATGGTGCAGTCAGCCATGAGGCTTTCTGGATGCTTCTGTGCACATCTCAGTGCTCTGGGGTCAGTGGGAGTGGGGAAGCACGGAATCTCCCGAGGCCCACAGTCCTGAGTGAGGGGCTACAGGTCCACACCCTGCCTGGGCTGGGATGTGGGGGCCCGCAGGCTCTGACTGGAGGAGCAGGTGCTTCCCAAAGGGGCCAGGAGAGGGAGCAGCAAGGAGGCTGCCTCCCCTCATCCCCCCTGGGGGTGGGGGAACTGTGGCTCCATTGGGGAGGGGGGGGCTCCTTCTCTGGGTGACCCGACAGTGCCCTCGGTGCTGAGACCGGGGATCTGAGGAGAAATGAGCCCAACCCTGCCTTGAGAGGCACCCGGAGAACGACCGGGGGAGAGGAGTTCAGCCCGGCGTGGGGCGTGGCACGGAGGGATGGAGGAGGAGGCTGCCTGGAGGCCAAAGCCTTCCTGTGACGGGGGAGGGGGGCCTCCCAGGGGCCAACAGGTGCAGAGTGGGGGGAGTGCAGAGCCACGCATGAGCAGGGTGAGGCTGGTGGGGGCCATCCCTCCACAGAGCAGAGGGCAGTGGGGGGAGGCAGGCTGCAGCGCCCGGGACAGGTGGGCCGGCCCGGGTGGGCCCCTCAGCGTTTGAGGAGGAAAGGCCAGATCCCACGGGCCTTTGGGAAAGGGAGGCTTCAGGACTGGGCGCTCCAGGGGCCAGGACCCGATGGGGAGCCGCTGAGGTCCAGATTCCTGGCTGAGGGGTGGCATGCAGAGAGGCCTCTGGAGTGGGTCAGCCCGTGAGCATGGCTTTGCACAAGGGTGCTGCACCTCAAGGGCCCGGGGTCCCTGTCAGAGCGAGCTGAGCAGGGTGCCGGCAGAGGAGGGGCCCTGTCCTTCCCACTGAGTTCTGCAAGGACTAGCTGAGCGTGGCCTGTGGGTGCCAGAGGGCTGAGCATGGGACACACCAGGGAGCAAGACCCTCGAGTGCTTTCGGGGCTCACAGAAGCCATCGGGAGGGGATCGGCCTGCCGGGGCCAGAGGTGGCTGGGTGTCTCCTGTCCCCCACCACGCTTCCCCAGGATGCTGCCCCAAGTGGCCCCCTGGCCTGGCACCCCCCCCTTGCCCTGCCCACGCTCCCGGCACTGGGCCAAGATCTGACTCTACCCAGGGTGTGTCCCTCGGCTCCCCTTCCCGGGACCCAGTCCTGGGGCTGCCCCAACCTCCACCCCCCTGTCCCCAGCAAGAAAAAGGCTCTGGAGACTGTGGCGGAGGGGATGAGGGGCAAGGCGGCCGTCTGAAACGGCTGGAGGCCACGAACCGTGGGCAGAGCAGAAGGAAGAGCTGGCACAGCAGGGCAAGTGGGGCCGCAGGGAGCTGGGGACCAGGTGCGCTGGGCAGACGGGCTGCCACGCCTCTCAGCCCCCATGTCCCCAGCTACACACAGGGCCACGTCATTACCGGGCTCCTCTCCGGGAGTAGGGGTGCGTGATGGGACAGCAGGGGCAAAGGGTTCTCCAGAATCCCCCAGCCTGGGCTGTCACCCCCGCGCCCACACCCCTGCTCCAACCTCCGGCCCAAGGCCTACTCCCCGCCCCAGGGGCAGAAGTGGGCCCTGTGAGCTGTGTGTGCGCACGGGCGTGCGCACACACACACTCTTCACCCAGGGCTGTCAGGGTATGGACCAGGAACACCACCGTCCCACCCAAGCCCTGAAACAGGGCTCACGAGCTTCCTGGCCCTGCAGGGCTACCCATGCTCCTTTGGGGCTCCCTGGGCTCAGAGGGAGTTGCGGGCCATCACCCTGCCCATTGTGGCCCCCTCTTGCCCTGAGGTGACCTCACACCCTCTGCCCTCTGGTTTCTGGGCCTCAGTCAAGGGCGCCTAGAACAGCTGGAGGAGAAGGTCTCGGGGCTCAAGAAGGAGCTGGTGGCAGCCCAGGAGGCACTGAACTCGGCCCGGCTGCAGAGGGACGTCCTGGACAGCGAGAGGGAGGGTCTGCGCAGAGCCCTGGCCCGGGTAGCCCTCCCCGCCCGCTCTCTCCCACCCTGGGCTCTGGCCCGCCCCCTCCCACTCACTTGTCTCCTCACCCTCCTGGGCCCTCAGTCCATCAGCAGAGTCCCCAGCCAGTGGGCGCTGGCCTATCCTCCCTGGCCCCTGGCCACACCTGCTTCCCCGTGGTCTCCCTCGGCTACCCTGCCACCTCTCCTGGCTGCAGCCTGAGGACCCAGGGAGCCAGCGTCCACCTCAGAGGCCTCCCCCCCCCCCCGTCCCGCCCAGAGCTCCCTCCCTCCCTGGCACAACGGCTCTCTGCGTGTGGGAACGGTCTGCACGTGGATCCCAAAGTGTCATCGGGGTGACCGCACCGTCCCCCCTGCCCTAGGCCGAGTCCAGCAGCATGGACCTGGGATTGCTCGTGACGCGGCTGAAGTCGGAGGGGGTGGAGCAGAGGGACTCCCTGGCCAAGATGGCGGCCCTGACGGAGGCGCTGGCTCAGGACAAACACAACCTGAGCCACCTGGTCCTGCAGGTGAGGCTGGTCCCCGGGCTGCTCTCGGAACCAGGCCCGCCTGGCAACCCCACCCCTCCACCTTCTCCATTCCTGCCCAGGCAGTAGGGGTCGTGGGAGGAGGCATAAGGGAGCCTGTCAGGCCCTGTGCCCGCCGGGTGGGGTGCTCAGCCCGTGGGACCGAGGGCGCATGGGCGTGGTGCACAGGGTGTGGTGCAGGGCGTGGTGCATGGGCATGGTGCAGGGCGTGGTGCAGGGCGTGGTGCAGGGCGTGGTGCACGGGCGTGGTGCACAGGGCGTGGTGCAGGGCATGGTGCAGGGTGTGGTGCACAAGCATGGTGCAGGGTGTGGTGCATGGGGCGTGGTGCACGGGGTGTGGTGCAGGGCATGGTGCACGGGTGTGGTGCACGGGGCGTGGTGCATGGGGCGTGGTGCAGGGTGTGGTGCATGGGGCGTGGTGCACGGGCGTGGTGCAGGGCGTGGTGCGTGGGCGTGGCACACGGGGCGTGGGGCGGGGCGTGGTGCACAGTCGTGGTGCAGGGCGTGGTGCAGGGTGTGGTGCACGGGCGTGGTGCAGGGCGTGGTGCCTGAGCCTGACCCATCGCCTCCATGCCCCCCTGCTGGCAGCTGGAGCAGGAGCGAGACCAGCTGCGGGAGCAACAGAAGGCACTGGAGCAGGAGCTGGAGCTCGTGCAGACGGCACGCGGGCACCTGGAGAAGCAGCTGCAGGGGCAGGTGGCCCGGTTCCAGCAGCAGCGGGACCAGCTGCAGGAGCAGATGGGCCAGGTGAGGTGTCCGCAGGGCTTTTGGCTCCCACTCCCACCCAGCAGGGCCGCCCCGTCTCTCCGGGGTATGGAAGGCCACAGGTCACCTTTAGAAGTCACGCTGGCTCAGGACGTCAGCACCAATGCTGTCTGCCAGCAAGGCTGACCGCCAACCAACGTGGCTAGATTCAGAGCCCACCTTGACACTGGCCTCCCAGCGGTGGGGGGTAGGAGACAGGGGGAGGGATAAGCAGAGAACGGTATGTGGGGCCTGTCCCAGTGCCCCCGTCAGAGGATCGAAGGCCTCCGCCCCATGACTTCCACACACTAGGGGGTCAGGCGCTTCACTGCTTCCTCCTTTGTCCTGTTTCTCACCTCCCTGGACCACCTCCGTACTCGCTGTTCCCTCGTTGGCTCATGCGTTCATTCTCCGACCTTCCCTGGACCCCGGCCTTCGGAGGAGGGCAGGCTCCGTGGGGAGTGGCACTGGAACACTTTGCTTTCCTCCAGTCCCGACCTGTTGCCCCACGTGGAACCCTGTGCCTGCAGTCTTGCCCCGCCCCCCGGCAGCGTTCGGGCCCCCTGCTCTGGGACTCAGCTTGGAGTCCTCCACTTCTCAGGCTTCGTCTGGTCCCTTTCCCTCCTCCCTTCATTGCATGGGATTCACACTCAGGAGCCAGCGTGCTGTTCCACGAGTTGCGACCACTGCGTGCACTGCATGGCCGGCACCCACGGGGACGGGGACTGTCTCCCCGGGGCCTCGGGGCTGCCCCGCCCCCCATGCACAGGCTTCACCTGTCCGAGAACTTCTGGTAAACGGAGCCAGAGAGTCGGGGCCGTTTTGTGCCCACCCACTCTCTCAGCATGATGCTGGTGGGCGTCATCATGCCATAGGCAGCAAGAGCTCGGGGCTTTTGACTGCATAGTAACTGCATGGTAACATTTCGTGTACAAATAAACCACATTCGCTTTCCCATTTCCTTGCTGCTGGACATTTGGGTTGTGATGCACAAGACGGTCCCGGACACTGGTGTGCAAGTCGCGTCCATGTATAGTGAGGGAAATCGTGGCCATTTGGTAGGTGTGCGTTGAATTTAATAAGAAACTGGCAAGTGATTTTCCAAAGTGATTGTGTTAGTTTATCTACCGCCAGGAGCCGGTGGGGGGCGGGAGGGGGTGCAGCTTTCAGCGGCGCCTCAGCCTGGTCCACATTTGGCCTCATCCACTTTTACTTTTTAATTCCTCTGTGTGTGTGAAGTTATATACCATTGAGGTTTTAATTTGCATTTCCTGGATAGCAAATGATCTTGAGCACATTTTAATGAGCTCATTGGAAATTTGCATACCTTATTTTGTCAAGTGTCAGTTCAAATCTTTTGCCCACTTTTATTGGGTGTTTGTATTTTGGTTATGGACATCTAGGAATTCTTCGTGTATCTTGAACATGAGGGCTTTGTCAGACGGATGTACTTAGAATAGTTTACTCACCTTTGTGACTTGCCTATATATTTTCTTACTGTTGTTTTTGGTGGACAGAGAATTTTAACTTTGGTAAAATTCAATTTGCCAAGTTTGAAAAAATGTATGGTTAGGATTTCCTAGATACTGAGACATTTTTTGTGTAGCCCAAGGACAAGCAAATACCCTCCTGTGTTTTCACCTAACTCTTACACATAGGTCTGTGATCATTGCAGGTTGATTTTTCTGGATGGCAGTGGTTCTCAAAGTGTGTTCCCTAGGCCAGCAGCAGCAGCACCTGGGAACTAGTTAGAAACGCAGATTCTCAAAACGCCCCGCTCAAAACCCACTAAATCAGGAACTGCAGGATGGGTGGCAGAAATCTGGATTTTAAGGAGCCCTCCAGGTGATTCTGATGCCCCAAAATGTGTGAAGTACGAACTGAAGCCCGTTATTTTTCATACAAATGTCCAGCTGTCCCAGCACCGATTTTTAAAGACTGTCCTTTCTCTCCTGAATTACCTTAGCGACTTGTTGAAAGTAAATTGAGCATATATATGCATATATGTGCACAGATCAGATAGTTGATCTATGCAAATCAATCTGCTCATTCTTTCCCCAAAACCACACTGTCTTGGTTACTGTAGCTTCTCAGTAAGTCTTGAAATTAAGTAGCATGAGTCCTCCAATCTTCTTTTTCTTTCTTTTTTTTAAAGGTTTTATTTATTTATTTGAGAGAGAGAGATAGCAAGAAAGAGTACAGTCGGGGTGAGGGGTAGAGGGAGAAGCAGAATCCCCGCTGAGGAGGGAGCCCGACGCAGGGCTCGATCCCAAGACCCCAAGATCATGACCCAAGCCAAAGGCAGACACTTAACTGACTGAGTCACCCAGGCACAGCTTTATTCTTCTTTTTCAAAATGGTTTTGACTGTTCTAAATTTTTTACATATCCATGTACATTTCACAATGAGCTTATGAATTTCTGTCATTTCCCCCACCCCCAAAAGCTTGCTAGAACCTCGGTTGAGATTGTGTTGACTTTATAGGTCAGTTTCAGAAGCCTGGACACCTTAGCGTCATCGCAGTGTCCCTCCGTGAAGCTGTGGTATATCTCTTAATTCTCTCAGCTGTGTTCTGTGCTCAGTGTAAAAGTCTTGCCCATTTGATTAAATTGATTCTTAAATTTGATATTGTGAATTGCCTTGCTGTTTTAATTTTATTTTCCTAGTGTTCATTATTAGTGTAGAGAAGTACAGTCTCATCTATGAACTTTGAGTCACGTGACCTTGCCAAGCTCACTCGTGAGCTCCAGGGTTTTCCATGTTCATAGTCATGGCCTCTGTGAAAAGCAACAGTTTTCTTTCCAATCTTGGTGACTCTTACATGTTCTTCTTTTGATGCACGTTAAGGAGCCTTAGAACAAAGTTGTAAAGACCGTGAGAGTGGCTATCCTTCCCCCCGACCCCGGGAAGGAATTTAGTGTTTTGCTTCTGTACAATGTTATCGATGGGCCTTTCGTGGATGCCCCTCATCACACTGAGGATGTTCCTTTCATTCCTAGCGTGTTGAGAGGGGTCCTGGTCGTTTTTATCATGGATGGGTTTTGAATTTTTTTAAATGTTTTTTCTTTATCAAGATGATCACGTCATTGTTCTTCTTATTATTAATGGGCTGAATTATATTGGTTAATTTTTTAATGTTACACCAACTTTGCATACCCGAGATAAACCTTACTTGGTCATAGGTTAATAGCCTTTTTATATATTTTTGGATTCAATGTTTTGTGAAGGATTTTTGCATTTATATTCATGAAGACTAGCAGTCTGTGATTTACTTTTCTCATCATGTTTTTGTCAGATTTGGACCCAGGGCCTCATAAAATCAGTTGGGAAATTTATTTATTTCCTGAAAGCATTTTAACGTTGATGTTATTTCTTCCCTAAATGTTGGTAGAATTCACTAGTGAAGTCATTTCAGTCCGGAGTTTCCCTTGTGTGAAGTGTTTTGATAATGAGTTCAATTTCTTAAACATGGAGGCTCCTCAGGGTTCCTGTCGCCTCATGTCTCTGTTCTGCGCACTGATGACTTCGCTTGTTGCGCTTCATTACCCTGCAGATCAAGCTATTTTCTCATTCTCTGTGTGACTTCTTTTCTGACCTGTGGGTTATTGATGTACATTGCCTAACCTCAAACATACGGATTTTCTAAGTACCTATTTGTTACCTATTTTTAATATAATTCCATTGTGCTCAGAAAACATACTCCAGGGGACACTTGGGTGGCTCAGTCGGTGAAGCGTCTGCCTTCGGCTCAGATCACGATCCCGGGGTCCTGGGATCGAGCCCCACATGGGGCTCCCTGCTCCGCGGGGAGTCTGCTTCTCCCTCTGCCACTCACCCCGATTGTGCTCTCTCTTGCCGTCTCTCTCTTTCTCAAATAAATAAATGAAATCTTTAAAAAAGAAAAAAGAAAACCTACTCCATGCTATTGGAATGGATCTAAGGGCATGTTTTATGGCTTATAGGAGCTCATGTGAGAAGAGTGCACAATGGTATAATGGGGGCATGTAAGGTCTATAAACATCAGTTCCAACATGGTTGAAATCTTCCATGTCCTTACTGGCTCTTTGTCTGTCTGTTTTACTTGTTTTATTTATTGGTTTTACTTGGCTGGTTGTGTTTGTCTACTTGTTCTAACAATTAGTGCTGGAAGAGCATTAAAATCTCTATCTGTGATTGCAGAATTGTCTATTTCAAACTTTAGTCCTGTCCTTTTTTGCCTCATGTTTTGAATTCCTATTGTTAGGTGCACACACATTTAGTATTTTATGTCTTCATGATGCATGGACTTCTCATCATCATAAAGTGTCCCCTCTCCTTTCCAGCGACACTCTTTTCCTTGGCATCTAGTGATAGTGATAGAGACACACTAATTTTCTCATGCTTAGTGTTTTCACTGTATATCCTTCAATAGATTTAGATCACTCTAAAATACATTTAGAGTGTATTTCTTGTAAAAAGCATATGGTTGGGTCTTTCTTTTATGTTTACTCTGACAGTCTACTTGGTAATTGGAGTGTTTGTACCATTTACATTTAATGTAACCGTTGATATGCTTGGTTTATTCTGCCATTTTGGTACTTGTTTTCTATTTGTCTCATTAAAAACACATTTTTATGGGCGCCTAGTGGCTCAGTCGTTAAGCGTCTGCCTTCGGCTCAGGTCATGATCCTGGGGTCCTGGGATCGAGCCCCGCATCAGGCTCCCTGCTCAGCGGGAAGCCTGCTTCTCCCTCTCCCACTCTCCCTGCTTGTGTTCCCTCTCTCGCTGTGTCTCTCTCTGTCAAATAAATAAATAAAATCTTCCCCAAAAAAACACCACATTTTTAAATTCCTTGTTTCTGACCTTGTTTTGGGTTAGTTGTATATTTATGTAGTATTCCACTTTATGTTCTCTATTGGTATTTCTAAGCTATACTTCTTTTCCTTATTATTTTAGTAATTATACTAAAATTATGATATGCATAATTTATATTCAAATATTATACTACTTCAAAAACAATTTAAGACCTTCACAACATGTATTACATTTATCCATCCCATCCTTTGTGCTCTTCTTGCAGTATATTTTATTTCTACATGTGCTGTTATAAACCGTACAATATATTATTCATATTTTTGCCTTAAATGGTCACTTTGACAATGCACACACACACACACACACACACTTCAGTTATCTGGCCAAATGCTTTATCTTCACAGCTATTAATTATAATCTTTTTCAAGTCTTTGATAACTCCAACATCTGCATCCCAGAATGGTTCTCTTTCTGTTGTCTTTTTATCTCTTGGTTTTCAGTCATGTGGTCTTGCCTCTTGATATGCATAATAATTTTGTTGAATAAGACTTTATGTTTTTGTAGAGATAACTTGAGACTCTGAATGATAACAACTTTTTCCAGAGGGAATTTGCTTTTGATTTTGGGAAGTCAGAGCAGGGGCAGATCACCTTTCGCCAGTCTGAGCTCAAGCTGGTTTGTAAGTGGGTTTCAGTCTCCTGTGAGGAGCAGCCTATTTCTGGTGTGCTCTAGGGTCTAGCACAGCTCTCCCGGGCCCCTCACTGGACGTGTCGGGTGCTGACCAGGGCCTCTAGCTTCTGGTGAGCCCTACCTCCAGGTTTTGTTTTCTCAATTCTGTTAAGACTGCCCGAAGTTCCACCTAACTTCTCAGATTCTCGGCTGCCACTTCTCATTCAGATTATAGTCCCTTGGCCCCATACTTCTTTGGAGTTATATTCTTTAAAAAATCAGTACCGTTTTTAAAAACAATACAGAATCTGAGTCTCCCCTCCCCTCTGATCTCTTCACCTCTCACACCGCAGCTGCTTTGGTAGCTTTGAACTCCAGGTTAGGTCTCCCTAGTCTCGTAAGCCTGCTGAAACCCTAAGTCAAGTTCCCAGCCTTTTAGCTAAGGCCTTATGCTTGGCTGTGAAGGCTCTGGGCCTTGTGCTGCTTAGGAGCTGGCCGATACCACAAGGAAAATCTGTGGCGGAGTGTCGGGCTCGGCTGCATCCACGTCTCCTTGGGTCTTGGCCGCTTTGGCACCTCTTGGGCCCTCATACAGGTAGTTATGTTGCAGGTGTGCTGCATAGATTTTCCAGCTGCTCCAGCTGTGGGAGGGCTGGTCTTCAACCAGCTCCTTCACCATTATCAGAAGCAGAAAGTTCTGGTCTCGACATTTGAAGAATATTTTTTATAGGTTATAGAATACTAGGATAGCCATTATTTGCCTTCAGCATTTTGATGAATTCATCCCACCATCTTCTGACTTTCTTTGTTGCTGCTTGGAAATCAGACGTCAGTCTTAGTGTTGCTCATTTTAAGGTAACGTGTGTTTTTCCCTCTGGTTTTAAAAAGTGTATTTCTTTATCTTTGGTATTCAGAAACTTCACTTTGCTCTGTCTCTGTGACATTTTCTTTGTATTTATCCTATTGGAGGATTATGGCTCATTTTAAATCTGTGGCTTGATGGATTTTACTGGATTTGGGACATTCTTGTGCAGTATCTGTTCCAATAGTCCCTCTCCTCTCCTACTGCAACTTCGATCGTACAATGTTGGGCCTTTTTACCTCATCGCATGTATCTGGTACCCTCTCTTCCGTGTTTTTCATCCTTTTTTCTCTTCATGACTCAGTCTGAATACATTCTTTCATCTGTCTTCCAGATGAGTAGTCCTCTCTTCTTTCTAAGCTGGCATTGAAACCATATATTTATTAATTTTGATTACTGTATTTTAAAATTAGATTGTTTCTAGTTTCTAGTTCTGTTGTGAAATTCTACATCTTGCCGTCCATCTTCTCAAATGTCGAATTACAGCTATTTTAAACTCTGTGTCCAATGACTCCAATACCTGAGTATCCAAGAGGGCAGGGAGACATCGGTATTTATTTTATGTTCTTACATGTGTTTTTTGCCATATGATCCTATCTCCTGGTATGCCTGGTAATGTTGATTAAATGCCAAGTATCATAGGTAAAAAACTGTAGAAACAACTTGAGGATCTTGATGACGCTATTCTTCTTCCAGAGAAGACTTACTTTGGGTTCTGGTGGGCAGTGAATGATCACCATAGTCCCTGGTTGAAGTGATTCAAACCTGAGCTTCAGCTTTTATGAGGGATGATCTATTTCCGATTCAGTACCACTACCAGGGCAAAGCCCTGTGGTGAATGCAACTAAACGCTGGGGTGTTTGTTAGGGTCCCTCTGCTATGATGGCTCTGAACTTGAGTTTTTGTTCCCCTGAGGCCATAGCACTGTCAGAAACGCTCCTCGGCTTCTCAGTTTCTCAGCCAAAACTTCGAGGTCAGCAAATTCTGAAGAGAGAAGAGATGCCAAGTGGTGGGCTTATTCCTCTGAGTCCCTCCCTCTAGGTCTCGGCTCCTTTTGTCCCCACTGCCTTGGCAGCTCTCTGAGGCCTTGTACAGATCCCTGTGTCATATTCTGTCTAGATTCTTGTGATATTCTCGATGGAAGTGTTTGTCCTCAGCAGTCTGGTCCTCTGCCACCTTCTACTGCCATTGCTGTGTGATATTTCCTGCCCCCTGGACACTTGTGGGCCAACCAAGGTTACCATTTAGACTAGCGGCTGGCTCTTCCCTGGGAATGTTCGGTTCAGGGACTTCTCCAACACGGCTGCGGGAGTGGATGCCCCTCTGCTGTGAAAACACACATGGGCACTTCTGAGGTCCAATCTGTCTTCCGTTCACTCTCCTCCCCATCTTTTCCTCCATGTCATTCTGCACAAAATTGCTTCTTTTCTCTTGAAAGGCCCCTCACCCTCCCACTCTGCCAGACTGTCCCTTCCCCACCCCACCCCCAGGTCACATGCAAGAAACAGGCCTTGGAAGAACAGCTGGCCCAGAGCCTGCAGGACCAGGAGGCCCAGATGGACACTCTGCAGAGGGCCCTGCAGGAGAAGGAGGCTTTGTCTGAGGAGCGGACCCAGCTGCTGGCCAAACAGGAGGCCCTGGAGAGGCAGGTCCAGCTCACAGCTGAGGAGGCAACTGACCTCAGGTACCTGGGGCCCTACCAACAGGTTGTGTCCACATGGCCTCACCCTGGAAGAGCCTGGAGTGGGGCAGGGGGCAGGCACTTACTCAGCGACTGTAGGGTGGAGCAATTCTGTCTACGTGGGAGAGAGGCTGTGAGTGAGGGGCAAACTCAGTGCCTGGATAGGAGGAGCATCTAGAAGTGAATGTAGTGAGAGCCCTGGGATGGCGCTCCTGAGCAAGGCGGCTACACTGGCTAGATTGCAAGTAACCAGGAACCCAGTTCAGACTAGCAGAAAGAAGGCATAGGATGTCTTGCTCATGGATCTAAGAAGTTCAGGTACACATGGCTTCAGGCAAGGCTGGATCCAGGTGCTCCCACAGTGCTATCAGAATCCTGTCTCTCCCTGCTCAGTTTTACTTAACTCAGGGATTTTGTTCTCAGGCAGGCTCAGGGTGAGAGGTGGCAAATGGTCAATGGCCACTCCAGGCTCCCTCCTCCATTGGACGTACTGCCCTTCTCCCCACAAAGCCCAAGAGCTGCTACCATTGGCCATCGTGAGCCATTTGAAGGCCCTGAACCAGTCCTGGGATTTGCAGGGCCTAGATTGGCAGGCTGGAGTCACAGGCACATCCCTGAAGCCAGGGACAGTGTCAGCCCCAGGGAACCATGAGGTTGAGGGCAGGGTGAGCTTCAAAGACTTTCAGGGGCCCCTTCCAGAAGACATGAAATAGGCACTTGGAGGCAAGAACACGGTGCCTGTATGCTATTGCCCGGTGAGCTGAGCTGGTCCCAAGGTCTCTGTGGAAATCCAAAAGCTGGTGGCTTTCTGCCCCCAAACTTGTAGGCTCTCTTGAGAACATCTAAGTATTTTTTAGAAAGGTTTCCTCCTGGAATTCCAGAATCTGGGAGTCACGAGAACCCTTCAAGTCCCAGGTCCTTAAACATCCTCACAGACAAACCTTTTGCAAATGAAAGCTGACAGAGAAATTGGAACAGAAAACCTAACGAAACCTACTCTGGGTCAGCAGGAGCAGAGGGTCCCTGCCTGTTACCCCCTCCCAAGCCCCACAGGTACTCAGAAGAGTGGGGGTAGAGGCCCCTATCACCTGCCAACATCTGCTGCCCAGATCACCGGCAGATGCCTCAGCAGCCCAGGATCCTCTCTCCAGGCTCAGACCTGACCTCTGGGCCCAGGGCCTCTGCACATGGCAGCCCAGTGGCCCCCAGACAGAGCCAGCTGCTCGTTAAACAGCACTTCACACTGAGCAGTCTGAGCTTCTGCTGACAAGGCTGCTGGGGACTCGTCAAGCCACATATACCTGGCACACACACTGTGTGTTTATCTGGCTGGCTCAGTGGGGCTGGAGGGTTTGATCACGGCAGTTTCGGTGAGCTCCGAGGTAATGTTGACAACGAGCAAGTACCAGAAGTCCTGCTGTATATTGCGTCTCCCGCAGCAGGCTGGATGACGGTGAGGGAGGGCCCAGGGCTCAGGGTCCTGCAGCTCCCACAGCCAGGTCCCAACGGGGCTGCAGCCCCAGGGACACGCTCTTAGTTCGCAGGGTGCTGGCTCTCTCACCAGCCAGAGAGCTGGGTGGAGTCCCTGCCTGCCCCCTGCCCGCACCCTGGCTGGTCACACCGGGCCTCTGCTGCAGGAGGCTGAGCTGCTCGGGGCTCCTGGGGGCGGACAGACTGGACACACCCTCAGATTCCCAGGCTTTGAGGTGAAAATTCTGGTGTCTGAGCGGCAGAGACCACTTTTCCCAGAGGGGACCAGGCTGATATCTGGGAGGAGGTGGGTTCAAGGTGTTGGGGAGAGCATTCCCCACAGAGGGGGTGCTCACACAGATGCGGGGAGTGGGGAACAGGTGGGGTGCTGACAAGGATAGAGACTGGATATCAGAGAAGTGAAGTTTCTGGGCTCCGCAGGCATCAGGGAGCCCTGGAAGTTGTCAATGTGCCCTCCCTACCCCCCCCCAACAAAGGTGCCAGCGGTGTGCAGGGGGCCGGGGTGGAGGGCCATCAGGGTCAGGGTCAGCAAGGGCCTGCATGGCCCACGCCCTCCCTGACCCATTGACTTGGGTGGGGTTGTGTGCTTGCTGTTTGAGTGTTTGTGGTGTTTGCATGTGTGTTGTTTGGCTGGTTCCTTTCTTCACCCTACGCCACCCAGCACAGGGCAGAGCCTAGTAACGGTTAGGACTCGCTGGTTGGCCGGTTGACGGCTGACAACGACTTCAAGCCCCTTTATCAGCCTCTCCAGAGAGGAAAGCTGCTGTACCTTTCCAGGTACTTCCTGACCCGGAGGCAGCTTAGCACGGCGGAATCAGGCTACGTGTGCCCTTTTGCTCAGAGAATAGAGAATAGAGTTTCCTTGTCCTCAGCAACAGCTCACTAGATGCACCACCATTTCCAACATGCTGCCGTTTATCAGCATGGAAGCCAAGTCCAGTCAATACCCTATATAAAGCTGCAGTGAGCATCTTGTACATGCAGTGCTGGTTCCTGGGTATTTCTGGAGAACTGACATGTGGGAATGGGACTGCGGGCTGGAAGATAGGCACACTTTAAATTTTGAAATTTCCCAGCCTCCTCTCCACAAAGAAAATGGTCCCCACATCCTTGCCCACGTAGAATATTACCATTGTTTAAAGTTTTGTCAATCTGATACATGGTCAATAACACCTCATGGTTGTAATTTGAATCTCCTTGAGCCCTAGTAAGGTTGAGTAAGCTTTATATGTTCATTCTCCCTTTGTGTTTTCTTTGTGAATAACAGTCTTTTTTTTTTTTTTTTTTCATTTTTCTGTAGGATCAGCTGACTTTCTGTCATTGATAGACAGAAGCTCTTCCCATATGGTGGATATTAATTCTTTGTCTTTTTAGTGCAGATTTTTTTCTTCAAGTCTGTCCCTTGTCATTTAAGTTGGTTTATGCAATCTTTTCTGCCCAACCATCCCCCCGCCTTTAAGTGTATTTAGATCTGCTGGCCTCTTTATTTTTGTCTTCTGGCTTTTGTGTCTTAAGAAGATTTTAAAATATGGTTCTGTGTTTTTCTCGACTATTTCTTTTTTTAGAGAGAGAGGGAGCATGCTCACGGGGGTGGGGAAAGAGGGGGAGAAGCAGAGGGAGAGAGAGAATCTTAAACAGGCTTCACGCCCTGCATGGAGCCCAACACAGGACTCGATCTCACGACCCTGAGATCATGACCTGAGCTGAAATCAAGAGTCAGATGCTTAACCGACTGAGCCACCCAGACGCCCCTCTACTGCTTTTATAGTTCTGAGTTGTTTGTTTTGTTTTGTTTCATTTAGCTCTTTAATCCATCTGAAAGATGAATTTGTGCGGGGCCCACTTTGGTTTTAGAGATTTAAAATGAATGAGATGTTCATTCTGTTTATCTTCTGACTGATGAGCCTGGCCTTGGCAGGCACCGTCCTACTGTCTAGCAACTGCGCTCTGCACCACCCCTCAACGGCAGGACCGCCCAGGTGACGGGCCCCACTGTCTGATGACTCTCTGCAGGGCCGAGAGGGACTCTCTGCAGAGCAGCCTCTTTGAGACCCACCAGCTGTTGAGGCAGCTACAGGACCAGCGGGAACAGCTGGAGGGAGAGGCCCAGAGCGTGCGGCTTGCTCGGCAGGCCCTGCAAGGTGCTCCTCAGGCGGGCTCTCTTGGCTCCTCTCCCCCCTTCAGTGGATCTCGACCCCCAGATGTGCTGCCCCCACTCCCCAGTCCCCCGAAGGAGCATGAACACAGGCCGAGAGCTCCCGGGGCTGAACGGTTCCTGCCACTATTGTCTGGGAGGGATGGGCACCCGTCCTGCCTGCTTCCAATGCTGGGCCCAGGCGCGAAACTGGGCTGCAGCCACAGGATCAGCATGCTGGCTCCCTGCCCCTCCCCTGTGCTCCCTGTTCAGCCCGCCCTGCCTTGGGCGCCTGGCCATAGCCAGTACAAGGTGAGAACTTAGGACACACACACTGCAGTGGGGCACGGAGTGCTTTGTCCCCCCGGCTCTGACAGCCCCCTCAGAGCAGGTGGCTGTCCCTCTGTGGGCCCGGCGCTCCACAGGGAGTTTGTAAGGGCCACAGGGCTTCCATGCTGGGGGGGCCTATGGCCAGTCCCGGATGCACCTGTCACTTCACAGTGGAAATGCAGCAGCTGAAGAGTACCTGGGAGGTCCAGGAGACAAAGCTACAGTGGGACGTGGGGCGGCTTCGGCGGCAAGTGGTACAGCAGGAGCGGGAGATGCAGCTGGCCCTGGAGAGCCAGGCGCTGGCCCACCACGAGGACCTGGCTCGGCTCCAGAGGGAGAAGGTCTGCTTCCGTTGGGCCACCCAGTTGCCTGGTCACCTCCCCGGAGTCCACCACGTCCCAAAATGCAGCAGACACTTAAGGGTGGAGGCCTAAGAGACCAGCCAGGAGACAGAGGTGCCCCAGCCATGCTGTGGCTAGGCCAGAGGAGGACTCTTCCTAGTTCAAGTGAGCCTGGGCCATCCAGGGCCTGGAACGTGTGTGCAGAAGAGGCCAGGCCTTGGGCAGGCTGACCTGGCTGCAGTCTGAGGGCCAGTAGCTGGAGGGAGCTTTCCCTGAAGGTCTTGCTTGACATATTATACATCTTACGAATGTGGAGGCTCAGGAGAGGTTTATGAACCACTACATAAAAGTGGGAGGGCAGATGGTGAGACCCAGCTCTTGCTTTGGTGTCACTGGGTAAGACAAGTGGTATATGGCTGACTGGGGTAGACAACCTCTGGGGACCTGTCCTGCCCTGATGTCCCACGAACCAGGTCTCACTTAGGACCTGCTGGTCTCACATGTCCTGACCTATGCAGCCTACACAGCCTATTCCTTTGCATTGGCCCAGGAGACGCTGCATCTGTCTCTGACAGAGGAAAAGGAAGTGGCAGCTCGCTGTTTGGAACAGGAGAAGAAGCTGGTAGCAAAGAATGTAGCCAAGAGGGAGGCTCTGAAGGAGGAAATTCAGAGCTTGAAGCACGAGAGGGACAGGAGTCTCCTCCAACTGGAACATGAGATGCAACAGGTGATGGGGCACTATGAGGCAGCAAGGAACCCTCACATCCACTTCACCATGCCTTCTCTGACCCAGCAAGAGGGCTATGAGCGCAACCTTTCTAGGTCACTGCTACTGCAGCTTTGGTCTTCCACAGAAGTTCTGGGGGACAGACATCCATCCAGCAACCCATCCATCCATCCATCCATTCATCCATTCATCCACCAATTCATCCATCCATTCATTCATCAATCCATCCACCCATCCACCCACCAATCCATCCACGCACCAATCCATCCATCCATCCACCCATCCACGCACCAATCCATCCATCCACCCACCCATCCATCCATCCATCCATCCACTAATTCATCCATCCACCCACCAATCCATCCATCCATCCACCAATCCATCCATCCACCAATCCATCCACCCATCCATTCATCCACCAATCCATTCATCCATCCATCCATCCATCCATCCATCCATCCATCCATCCATCCATCCACTAATTCATCCACCCATCCACCCACCAATCCATTCATCCATCCATTTATCTACCAATTCATCTATCCCCCATTTATCCATCCATCCATCCATCCATCCACCAATTCATCTATCCATTCATCCACCAATCCATCCATCCATCCATCCATCCACCAATCCATCCATCCATCCATCCACCAATCCATCCATCCATCTATCCATCCATCCTTCCATCCACTCATCCATCAATCCATCCATCCCCCCACCAATCCATTGTGTCGAGTGGGGTTGATGGGGCCTTTTCACTCTGTCTGACATGTCCCAAGCAAGGCACTGAGCATCCATCCACCCATCCACCCCTAATCCATCCACCCATCCACCCCCCAATCCATCCATCCATCCATCCACCAATCCATCCATCCATCCATCCATCCATCCACCCACCCACCCATCCATCCATCAATCCATCTACCCACCCACCCACCCACCCACCCATCTACCAATCCATCCACCCGTCTATCCATCCATGCACTTGACTGTCCCTCCATTCATCTGTCCATCATCCATCCATTCACCTGACTTGCCATCCTTCTATCTATACACCCAGCAGATGTCCTACATACATGGCCATCTATCCACATACCTGATTTTCCATTCACACACCTAACCATACATCTATCCATCAATTTGCTTAAACATCCATCCAACTATCCATACACCCAACTATCTATTCACACATTTATATGACCATCTGTCTATCCATTCACTTAAACATCCTTCCTTCTATCCACACACTCATCTGTCCATCCATAGCCACCATCCATCTCTGTGTCTGACTATCCATCCACCTGATCAGCCAGCCAGTGTGTGGAGAGCTGACTGAGCATACGCACGGAAGTTGGGCCATGTCAGACAGAGTGAAAAGGCCCCATCGACCCCACTCAGGACAAGGGCTGCCTCTGGGGTGATGCTCCTCCCCAAGCAGGGGTGTGGAATTAGGAACACACCACATCCTGGCAAAGGCTTTAGCCTCTCCTTAAAGAGGCCCTTGATCCTCACAAGCACCACCCCCCCAATCCCACCAGGCCCTGTCACTGAAAGAAGCAGAGGGAAGGCTGCTGAGGGAAGAGCTCTCCAGGTCCATGCAGGAGCTGGAACAGGTGCAGCAGAAGGCCCAGAGCCAGCATGAGCAAGCCGAGGTGAGCCCTGTGGGCCCAAGCAAGGCACTGAGCACCCAGCAGGGCCACCCCCAGATGCACCTTCCTACCTGGTCCCAGGTACACAGCCCCCTCTGTCCTGGCCCCCCTTAGCCTGAATTTCCCCCAGGGAATGTCCAGGTCTGCTGGGAGGAAACACTGTCTTAATGGGAAGGAAAAACCCAATGAACCAAAGCTGGGGGTGCGTGGGGCTGTGAGAGCCAGTCCCTGCTCCCCCAGCAGCAGACTCGTCCAGGAAGAGCCGACGGAGGAGGGCCTGGGGCCACAGGTGAGCCAGCAGCAGAGAAGGGCAGACCCAGACCTGGGCCCTGGCCAGCCCATAGACACCCAGCCCTGCCTGTCTGTGCACCTGAGCTGCACTTGGTCAAGTGGAACTGCAGGAAATGTGTGTGAGGCCTCTTGGGGCTGGCCCATTAGACTCTCCCAAAGGAGAAACCCAACCTGGAAAGGCCAGCCTTGTGCCCAAGGCAGATCCTCCCTGGGAAGGACATCCACAGAGAGTCCCAAGCCGAGCCAGGAGAGAGGCATCCCCGAGGGATGAGGGATGGGAGAGACCCCCATAGGTATAGGCCCACCGCCACACTGAGGCTGCCTCAGACAACCAGCTGGGGTCACCTGGAACTCCGGACTCCATCAGGAGCCCATGTCCAGGGGACAGGACAGGCAGTAGCAACTAGGACTTGGAGTGGGGGCAATGACCCTGGAGGCCCTGTGCCTCCATCCCATGAGCGAGGCGCCTACTGCTGTGTCCGGCGGGGGGGTGGGGGGGGGGTGTGGAGCTCAGCCAGGGTGTCTCTTCACCTTCCACCCCGCCCCACTGCTGCCTGATGTGGTCACTGTGAGCAGAGCTGCCTGGAGGGGCTCCTGGCACCCAGGAAAGTCTTATCCAAGAGGCTCTCTCCCTGGAGCCCCCACCCTGCTCTGTCCCACCCTTAGGCTGCGTGGCCCTTCCAAGGGCCACCCATGGGAGGAGTGGGGGTCCATGGGGTTGTGCCCTCCTTCCTCCCATCCCCACCGAGCTGCCCCCCGGTCCCACCCATGGTCAGGGAACCAGGAGCGACCCCCAAGATCCTGGGAGCTGACACCCCAACTCAGAGAGGGGCTGGTTCAGGAATCTTCCCTCGTGCTGACTCCAAGTCTGCGCCTGGACTGGGGGTGGCCTGCCAGCCAGCAGGACACTTCAGGGAGCTCGTTAAGGGTTCTTTTGCCACCTTGGCATGGAAAGTGGAAATTAAAACCCACTGAGGAGGCAGAGAGAGGAGAGATGCCGGCCGAGGAAAGCCAGGTGTGGGATGCCATCAGAAACACCCCTGGCAGGTGGAGGGGCTCCAGGGCAGTGCCCTGTCGCCCACAACCCTCCCAGGGGCTTCCGGGTGGGGCCCCCGCAGCCATGCAGGGCCCATGCTGGGGACAGCCAGACCCGGCCACCCAAGGTGATCCTGTCAGTGGGGAAGGACAGCAGGGGCGGGGGCAGAGGAGGCACAGTGAGGCTCCTTCCCCAAAAGCGGGAGATACCGTCCTGATGGAGCCCCAGCCCGCTAGCGCCCTCACTCTGCAGCGGCCAACGAATCCCGAGGCCCGGCGGGTGGGAGCGCAGAGGTCTCTTAGAAACCCAGCCCAGGACAGTGGTGAGGGCACCTGTGCCTCCTGGAACAGGAAGCCCCATCCCCCGCCCTGCTCAGGAAACCACCACCCTGGGGCCCAGACCACCTGGGGCCAGGAGGGGCGGGGGGGGGCGGCTGGTGAGGAAGCCGGGCTGGCCTCAGGCTCCGGGCAAGCAGGTGCGGTGCTTGCCGGTGGACAAGGAAAGCTTTGAGCAATGCCGCCTAGCCTGGGGCCCAGAGGACCCCCGCCTCCTCCAAGTGCCCACCGGTGAGTGCCCGAGGGGAGCCTCCTGAGTGCTGCAGCCCCAGGAGGGCAGGTCCAGGCCAAGCTGAGTCCCGGATGAATGGGCCACCTGAGCATGGCTGCATAGTCTCTGTGGGGGGGGCCCTGCGGCCCCTTTCCAGGCACATCTGCGGGTACTCACACGTTTCGTCTGCAGTGATGTGGGTCTCCCCTAAGGCCCCCACCCATGTGAAAGTTCAGGAAACCACGGGCTCGGCTGAGGGGTCCCTGTGTTTACCTGGACTCGGGGACATGGCTCCCCCTTCCCCACCACTGCCACGTCTTCTGAGCTGGGGTCTGCCTTTCTGGCCCTATGCTGATGGGCAGGGTCCCAGAGAGGGGGACTAGAGGCCCTTCATCTGGGAACAGACGCAGTGGATGCCCCAGCCATGGGGCCAGGGACCTGGGGAGCTTCTTCCGTGCCTGGCCATCCAGTGAGGGTGGAGGCCCAGTCCCAAGCTCCTGGGTGTGAACGCTGAGCACACTGCCCAGCCCAAGGAGGTCTGAAGTCTGTGACATTTGAGGGCAGGGCCCTCTCACTGCCAAATCGCTGTTCTTGGCCCCTCAGTGGGATGGGCCCAACAGCAACATTTTAGGGATGAGAAAGGTCAGTGCTTGAGTCCCTGATTGGGCGCCTGCCGCCCACCCTGCCCTGGAGACCCCAGAGGCAAGGCGTGGGGAGACCCCTCTGGGGCTTTCTCACCATGTCCCCTGGGACCCTGGCATCGGGGGCATTGACAGCAATCACCATGAGGACCCTGACCTGGAGCCCCAGGCCGCACTCTGCCCCTGCCCACCTGGTGCGGCCCAAGCGAGGGCAGCGTCTGGCTGCCTGCGTGGGCCTCAGCAGACCACCAGCTGCCCAAGCCTCAGGCTGCCCATGGATGCCGTGGCCGGTTTGCTGCTCCCTCCAGGCCACCATCAGCGCCACGACCACAGAGCTGAAGGCCCTGCAGGCCCAGTTTGAGGACGCCATCTCGGCCCATCAGAGAGAGGCCTCGGCTTTGGGCGAGAGTCTCCGGAAGATGGCGGCAGAGCGAAGCAACGCCAGGAGAGAAGTGAGGGGGTGTCAGGGGAGGGAGAGGGGGAGGGGTGTCAGGGGAAAGAGTGAGGAGAAGGGGTGCCAGGAGAGGGGGGGTGTCGGGAAGGGGGAAAGGGGAGGGAGATGGGGAGGGGTGTCAGGAAGGGGTGAGGAGAAGGGGTGCCAGGAGAGGGGGGAGAGGTGCCAGGGGAGAGAGAGGGGGAGGGGGTGTCGGGGAGGGGGACAGGGGAGGGAGGGGGAGGGGTTTCAGGGGAAGGGGGAGGGGAAGGGATGCCAGCGGAAGGGGGAGGGATGTCAGGGGAGGGGGAGGGGTGCCAGGAGGGGCAGAGGCAGTTTCAGGAGAGCAGGGATGCCGGGAGAGGGGAGAGGCGCAGCCGGGAGAGGGGAGAGGCGCAGCCAGGAGAAGGGGAGAGAAAGCCTTCCTGAAAGGCAGGTGTGACCCGGGGAGGGGGGAGGTGGACCCTCAGCCCAGAGACCCCTCCATCCTACCAGCCCTGGGAAGAGCCTCGGTGAGGTGGTGCTGGCCAGGCTCTGCCTGCAGGCAGCATGAGCTAGAGACTCCCCTGGGACCGGGCACCTGGTGGGGTGAAGCCGTACTGGGGGTGCCCGGGGTAGAGGGGCAGAAGTGTGGGGGCTTTGTGGGGTTTTCGGGGGCGACCATGCATGTACCTGGCCAAGGCCTCGAGGTCGACACGGGGCCCCCAGGAGCCACGTGATGGTGTCCTGCGGTGGGGACAGTCCTGGGCAAGGCAGGCAAGCAGATTGGGGAGGTGTTTCTGAGGGAGCTGTGACAGGACCTGGGGAGCCTGGGAGAGGGGAGGGCAGGAGGGCAGAGGGATTTGGGCTGGGGGAGGGTAAGCCAGTGCCCAGGTGGGGCCGTGGCGGGGGGGTCCTCGTGCCCTCCCCGGGCTAGGAGCCAAGGCCACGGGCAGCAAGCGCGCTGACCCAGGAGCTCAGGGGAGCACCAGACCGAGCAGCAGAGAGGAAAGGGGCTCCTCGGCCCTCCCCCAGCCCCCCAGGGACAGGCCCGCAGTAGAGGGAGTGGGAGGGAGAGAGCATGATTTAACATGACAGGCTGTTTACTTTGGCCCCCAAAGAGAAAGGTCTCCTTTCAACAGATTTCAAAGTCAGGCCCGGTCAGCGACCACACGGGGAAGCAAAATGAGATTTTAAAACTAAGGGCTGCAGGGGAGGAGCCAGGAGACTGGGGGCACATTTGTTCTGGCGAGGTGAAAGAAGAAAGCGCAGGCCTCCTGAGAAGTTCAGGTTCCCAGAGAGGGGGCCCCCCCGGAAAGGAGAGGGACCCCCAGAAGGGGGAGGAGCCCCCAGAAAGGAGAGGGACCCCCGGAGAGGGAGTGGGGGAGCGGGAGGCTGAGGCGAGGGGGCAGGCGGAACAAGCCAGGGAGCACGGGCCCTGAAGAGCCTCCAGGCGCCAGGCTGGCCCCGTTGCCACGGAAACCATAACGTTTTCACAGCCTTTAAACTGAAGGAAGGCCCAGGCTTCCCACAGCCCTGCCCAAAGCCCTACACGGGTGTGCACGCATGCACACGTGAACACACGGCACCGGGCACACACGGGCATGCACACACATGCCCTCATGTGCGGACACAGCACTCAGGGAAACACGCATGGACACCGCGAGCACGCACAGATGCGCACCAAGGGCTCATGCAACTGCACAGCTTACACGCACACACATCACGCATGTGGGCTGAACATGCACGTTCACACGTGTGTGCAGACGCACACCACACGCTCACACGTGCTGCATGTGTACACACGTGTGTGCTCACACGCGTGCACCGGCCAGAGCCCCGTAACAGCCCCTCCCCTGCTTTCCCGACTGTGCAGAGTCCTGGAGCCGCTTCCCTGCAGGAGATTTCAAAAGACGCTGTTTATACGATTTCTAGTAAAGAAATAATTATTATAATCACATTAAGTGATTTGGCTGTAAAATTCCTGTAAGGAGGACAGTTGTTTTCACGAGGGAGGCGGGTAGGGGTGCAGGGAGAGGGGGCCCTTCTCCCACTTTGCTTTGCTTGTTTTCATCTCCTCGGCCCTGGGAAATGAAAACAGCTTCTTTTATGACGGATAGGGCCTTTTGCTGGTCCTTGACCTTCCTGGTGGATTTTTGCTGAGCTCTGCGGAAACTGCTCCACACGGTTGTGGCTCCCACGTGTGGGGGGTGTAAGGGGAGCAGAGGAGGGGCTCAGGCCCTTCCCAAAAACAGAACAACAATAACAGTGGGTGGACACAGGAGCCAGGCTGGCCAGGGGCCTGGACTATGTCCCGCTGAAACAGCCAGCAAAGTGGGGTTTGCTTTTGGCAAACCCGAGCACTGACATTGCTCCAAATTTTTGTGGCTTCCCCTCTCTCTGTCGGCTCACTTCTGGCCTCCTCCACCCCCTCCTCAGGGCCAGCCGGGCGCACGGAACACTCTCTAGAGTACCCTGCTCAGGGCAGGGGCGTAGGCCAAGCCTGGAGATCTCCCACCCCGTAGCCTGGGTGCTGAAGGGTGGGCTGGCCCCTCCGTGGGTCTGCACGCTCCTCCAGACCCCACTCCAGGGGTTGGGGGTGGTGCTGACACGAGGCACCCTGTGTCACAGGGCAGCACGAGTAAGACCCCTGACCCCACCCATGCTCTGGCCCTGGGCCTCACACAGAACCACAGAATCGGCAGGGCCTGCCTAGAAGGCCCCAGAGTGTGTGGAGTGTCCTGGTGTGGGGAGGACAGCATGAGGGGTGTCCCCTTCTGGGCCTGGAACAGGTCTGGCAGGGACAGGGGACAAGGACTCACACCCGCAGCCTCTTCCAATCCTTGGGTCCGCCTGCAGGGGCTACAGTCTGGGTGGCTGAGCCCCGAGCCCAGGGCAGATGTGCAGCCTGTGGTTCCCCCTGGCTCCAGAGCCTGCCCACCTGGGGCCCCTCCTGCCCCCCACCCCTGGGTGCAGGGTGTCCGTGCTTCATGGAGCACTCTGCACAGAGCATTCATGCGACGGTGAGCACTTGCTACCCGAGTGGTTGGACAACCTGGCCGGAGTGGGCCTTCTAAGGGCCACCACCCAGAGACCCCCCTTCCCCTGGCCTCCCAACAGATCGGGAAATGAGGGCCGCGGGGTGGGTGTGCCCACAGCCATGCAGGAGTCGGGAGCCCAGGCAACTGGCACTGCTGCCCACATCGGGGCGGGCAGCGGCCCCTGTGCCACACCATCGCCGAAGGGGACAGCAGGTGGGGCAGCAGAGGCCACTGGACCTGGGTGGGGACAGTGCGGACGTGGGGGCTGACCAGTGACCAGCAGCCCCGGAGTCCAGGGAGGGGGCAAGGGGCAACACCAGGACCAGCAGAGTCCGAGGGTCACCTCCCTGGGCTCCGGGACCAGCCCTCGTGAACCACCCTGCAGCCTCATGGCATTAGGAGAGGTGACCCCCAGGTGGGCAAACCCAGGTTATCTGCTTCTCCTTCAAGCACTTGGGGACGCAGGGCTGGGGGTACATCGGCACTGCCAGACAGAACCAGAGCCCGATCCACAGCCCCTGACCCCTGCCCCCGGTGGGCCATACGGCCCACGCTCCTCCCCCAGGCCGAGAGGCTGCGGGCCCAGCTGGACGAGGCCCGGGAGGGGCTGGCTATACTGCGCCGGGAGCTGCGGGGCAGTGAGGAGAGCCGTGAGGGGCTTCGCAGGGAGGCCCTGGAGGCCCAGCGGGCCCTGGGTGATGAGGCCCGCGAGAAGGACGCGCTGCGGTGCTCCCACGCTGAGCTACGGGCCGCGATCCGCAGGGCTGAGCAGGAGAAGGCCAGGTACCAGGCCCCCTTGGAGCGAGCACCTGTCAGGGAGCCGGCCCAGCCCCCAGGCTCATCCAGGGGACAAAGGACGTGGGATGTGGGGTGTTTTCCTGACACGGGCCAGATGGTGCGGGGTGGACTCCCTAAGCGGACCCGGGGTGCCAGTTGTCCGTCTCTACATGCCTACACACGGGGGGGGGGGGAGGCTGAGGTGCCAGACGGGAGACAGCCAAGGGCTGGGAGCCAACGGAGGCCGAGGGGCCTGGTCCGGGGCTCTGAGGACAGCGAGGCCAGCACTGCAGCCCTCAGAGGGGCGGCAGAGGTGCCGGGCTGCTGCTGGGCACTGGGTCTCTGGGAGTGTGGCTGGAGAGAGGAGCACGGTAGGGGGAGAGCCCAGAGACATGGAAAGGGGCAGAGCCAGCTGGGCGCTCAGACCGCGGATACCCCGAAGGTGGTAGGGAGGCCGCCCCAGGGGGGCTGGGCTTTGGGACACTGGAGAACTGAGCCACAGGGGAGGCATCTGGCCAGAGTGAGGTGGGTGGCAGGAAGTCTCTATGGGAGATGCTATAGACCCCAGCTGTGATGTGCTGCTCAGTTTTCAGAGGTCCAAGGAAGAAGGGGAGCAGAAGGTGCTGGTCCTGGAGGAGGCCCGAGCCGTGGCCCAGAAGGAGGCCTGTGAGCTGCGGGCCAGGCTGAGGGAGGTGGAGCAGGCTCAGGCAGAGGCCCACCGGGAGCTCCAGGAGCTGGGCAGGCAGGTGAGGGCAGCCGTCCCGGAGCCCCGCCCCCACAGGGGTGTCCCCATCCCGCACACCCAGACCCCAGCTCTGTCCCCCCTCCCCGGGTGCCCACAGGCTGCAGTGGAGCTCCAGGACATGGCCTTGCTGCCTGTGTCTTTGGAAGCCACCAGCCGGAGGGCCCTGCTTGGACCCATGGGGCTCCCGGTGCGATGTGCGCCAGGGGGTACAGACAACCAGCCTCAAACTTACGGGCTAAGAACAACCACTTTGACCCTCATGGACTCAGGATCAGGAATTCAGCCAGGGTGCAGAGGGGACGTGCCAAGAAGACTCCACGGTGGGGGACTTGCGGGCAGGGCTGGGCGGGCCCACAGCAGCCAGGCTCTCGCGGCCCAGGGCTGGCCTGGCCATCAGCTGGGGCGCCCCCAGGGCCCTGGCCGCCACGCCTCCCCGCATGGCCACCTTGGGCTTGAGAACTCATCCATCGGCCTTGGCTTCCACAGTCAAGAGCCACTTATGCTGAGTTCACCGGGCCGAGATGGCTCAGAGGAGGGGCCTAGACGCCCCTGGAGGCCAGAGGCCTTTCCAAGCTGTCGACCGTCCTCAGACTTGGAGCGGTTCATGAGATGCCCTGGGCTCCCTCTGGACCAGGCATGTCCTGCCCCTCCCTCCTTCTACCCCCCATAGCCCTCCTGTGACGAAGGTTCTGGTACCTTCCTTTCCACATGAGGCCGCGGAGGCACGGAGAGGTGTGTGGGACCAGGGTCCCTGTGAGTGAGGGCCGGCGAGGAGCCCAGAGCAGCCCCCCTGATGCCACTCCCAACCCACTCCTTCCCACACGGTGTCCTGGCTCCGAGGGCACCCCCACCCCCCATGCCCTGAGTGCGGGTGCTACCCCGAAGGAAGGCTCCCCCCGCAGGACATGTGAGCAGAGGCAGGGGTCCAAGAGGGTGCCAGCGACCCCATCAGCACCGCCCCACACTCACAGGTGAACATGCTGGAGGCTGAGAACCGGAGAAAGAGCCACGAGGTGAGCCAGCTGCAGGTCCGGGGCGCTCAGGACACCCAGCGGCAGCAGCAGAGCCAGCGGGAGGGGCTGCAGGCGCAGAGGTTGGCCACGGAGGCGGCCTGTGAGGGCACCCAGAGGGAGGTAGGAGGACTGAGCAGCCTGCAGAGAAGGCACCAGCGCTGCCACAGGGGCTGGGATCCAGGGCCGCCCGGCCCAGCTCCTGCCCACGTGCGCTCCACGGGCCCACCTGCTCGTCTTCTCTCCCACTTCCCAGCAGGGCTGGGTGCAGCCAGGGTGGAGGGACAGGGGCTCTGACTGAGCTAACGCCGTGAAAGTGGTGACCCCTGCGTCTCCTAGGGTTCTCGTGTTTTAGAAACGGACAGCCTCACCCAGGTGACGTGAGTTCTGAGCTGAGGGACAGTCAGGGGCCCCCGAAATGCCCAATTCTCAAAGAGCCTCAGGATTCAGAGCACGCACCTACACCCACACCTGCACGTGTGTGTTCCCACAGCCCTGACCATGTGCTGGGCAGCCCTCGATTGACCCACTGTGCCGGCCCTTAGGAGCCCTGGCGTTGTGTCAGGCACCCTGAGGCTCCCCAGCCCTGGCCTCTGGAGGAAGCTGACCCAGCCCGTCCCACCACAGGCCACAAGCATGGGGCTGGCTGAAGGTGGAGCCGTGGCAGGCCACAGGCGGGGACAGCCGAGGGTCACAGCTCCGTCCGGCCTGGGGTTTTCACGTGTCTGCCAGGATGTGCTCCAGAGACCTGGGGTGTCCTTCCCCACCTGGGCTCAGGGGTCCCCACTGCCAAACACGGACTGGGAGGCAGGTCCGAGATCCCCCTAGCTGTGACATGCCAAGGAGGGAGTCTGAGGGGCTCCCTGAGGAGTGGACAGGACAGGAGGCCTGGGGGCAGGGCTTCAGGGGACAGGTGGCTCTTCACGTCCCTCCCACAGGTCCTGAGGCTGCAGCAGAAACTGGCGGAGGTGGAGGCCGCAGCAGAGGCCCAGAAGCAGCGGCCGGAGGAGCGTCTCTGCCAGAGCCAGGGGGCCGAGCACACCGTCCGGGCCGAGCTTCGCACCGCCCCCAGGAGGCTGCAGCGGGCCGGGGGTGCGGCTGAGGGCCTGCAGGCTCGCCTGGACGAGGCCTGCCGCCAGGTCCACAGCCTAGAGCAGGCGCTAGCTCAGGCTGAGGGTGCCAGGCGGGAATCGGAGGGCCAGCTGAGCCGGCTGTGGTCCACGCTGTGCCGTGGCCTGGGGCTCTGGGGACAGAGACCCTCAGGCTTCCCCGAGCGGCCCAGCCTCCCCAGGAAAGGTCAGTGTCCTCAATGGCTTCAGGTAGGCTCCTGCCCCGGCTCTGCACCCACCTAGGACACACACCCCTTCCCCCGGGCCTCATGACCCACACAGTGAGGGGCCTGGACTCCCATGCCCCCCCCAAGCCCCCTGTGGGTGGGGGCCGTCACCACGTCCCCACCCCGTCCCCTCAGCTGGCACCGACCGTCCTGCAGGCTCAGATGGCATCCAGGCTCGCTCCCCGCGGCAGAGGGCCAGCCCCCCCGCCCGGTCCCGCTCCCCACTGCGATGGCCCTCACCTGCACCGGGGGACCACAGCCCGGAGGTGGACGTGGACTCTGTGTGGGACGCCCTGCGGGACTTGGTGCTGCAGCTGCAGGATGCCCAGAGGGAACGGGTAAGGGAGTGCGGAGGACACGCCCTGGGGGCTCCTGAAAGAGGGAGAAGCGCTCATCACCCTGCTGTCCATCTGTCTGTCTGTCCCAGGTCTGCTGAGACCCTGGCGGGGCCCTGTGGGTCACGGGGCTCCTCAGTGTTCACACTGTCCTTGGTTTGGCATCATAAATAGCAGTAAATACCACGGTCTCTCAAAGCTTGACTGCCCCAAATGGCTCAGGGTCCTCTCCTCCTCCAAATGGGCAGCAGAGCCCCTGGCGCCAGGCGCCGCCATGACACACGCTGGGGTCCAGGTCGGCGTGCCCGAGCCCCCCACTCCTCCCGCCCGGGACCTCGGCCCTGCACTGCCCCCCAGGTTGCCCCCTGACCTGGGTCCTTCCGCCCAGGATGACTGGCACTTCCAGGCGGTAAGCCTGAGCGGCCGGCTGAGTGAGGCAGAGAGCGAGCGGGCCCAAGCCCAGAGCCGTGTGCGGCAGCTACAGAAGGCGCGGGCAGACGCGGAGGAAGGTGACGTCCCTTCCCTCACCCTGCCCTCAAGGATCGCTGGGAGGGGTACCCGCCACCTCCCCAGGGGTTCCCCGGGTGCCTCGCCCCTGGCTGCCAGGCGTGTGCGGTCTTGGGAAGTGCTCAGACCTGGGCCCCAGGGGCAGGTGCCTCCCTGGGACGTACCTGGCATGTGGCAGCTGGCTGGCTGCTTTCTCGGCAGTGGGACGAGAAAGGGGACTAAAGTCCAGAGACCCTGCGGGGACACAGACCCTCCTGCCACACCGGCCTCTTATAGTTCCTACTTCAGGGCCTTTGCACTGACTGTGCAGGCCTCCTGGAGCTCTCTTCCACCCACAGTCATGAGACCCATCTCCCCATCAGGTCTCTGCCCTCTGCCCCCTCAGAGAGCGCTCCTGCCCTGCTGGTCACCCTTCCTCCCCCCATGAGCGGGTCTGCCCAGGAGGTGGGCCCAGGGCCTAGCACAGTCTCAAAGGAGGAATGTCTGTGGAAGGAAAGAAGGTGGGAGAAAAGGAAAAGCAGGCAGAGGGAGCCAGGACCCCAAACCCGCCCCCAGGGATCCTTGAGCTTCAAACAGGAGGAGCGGAGAATTGTCAGAGGGGGGCCTCTCCAGCCTCCACCATCCAGGTGCCAGACACTTAAACTCGCCAAGCCTCAGTTTCCTGGCCTGTGAAATGGGTGGGGGCGATTGCCCACGTGGCAGCCCCACAGAGCTTGGGAGCCAGGCAAGCCTCTGCTTGCCCCACAGGTTGGCGCCAGGCAGAGGCCGAGATGAGCAGCACCCAGGCGGCGCGGGCCCTGCAGGAGGAGGTGCTCCAGAGGCTGGAGCTCAAGTACCTGGCGAGCACGCAGGCGGCCGGCCAGGAGAAGCGGAGGCTGCAGGTGGGGCCATGAGGCTGTGGGGACCTGGGGTCAGGGAGGTGGGAGGGAGACTAGGAAGGTTTCTGGGGGAGGGGGTTTCAGATCCCTATGGGCAGAGGCACAGCAGGAGGCCTCAAGGGACATGTGGCCCCACAGAGCTCATCAGGGGCCCCCGGTAGAGCTGTTCAAAGGTGGTCCCTGCCCTTATTTTACAGACTGGGGAAACGGTCCTGGATAGGGAGCCGCTTGGCCCCGTGGCAGAGCCGGCCAGGGCCAGAGGCAGGGCAGACCCCCGGCCTCCCCGGCCTGTCCGTCTCTCTGTGGCCATGCCGGCAGGCCTAGGGTGACACCAGCCCGGCCTCAGAGCCCTCTGTGGGGTCACATTAATGCACATTTACGTGGCTAAGGATCGGCTTACTGTGTCACTCAGACTCAGGAAGAGGTTACACAGGATGAATTTGGGTAAATGTCCCACATATGGGCTTTGTGCTGTGAAGGTGGCCTGGGGTCCCCTGCTTTCAAGTGAGGAAGCTGGGTTGGGAGGGGAGGAGGCCTGGCTGGACAGGGGAGCCCTGCACCCCACCCGAGGCCGCAAGTCAAGGCAACCTCAGCAGGACTGGGCTGGGGAGCAGCTGGGTCTGGGAAGTTAAAGCTGCCAGGCTACCATTTCCAGAAAGCTCCTTGAGGCCCTTGGAGGCATGGGGACCAGCACACAAGATGAGGGAACACAGGCTCCCCAGAGGGATCTCAGGGTCCCTGAATCTCAGGGAATCAGGGTCCCTGGCCCCACCCTGGAAAGATGATGCTGGTGGGAGCAGCAGAGCAGAGGGACTGAACGGGACCTGAGGGCAGGACAGGCCATCTCAGCCCCACCGACACAGAGGCCCGGCAGCCCTGCCGGTGTCCTGCAAGGAGAGGTGGCCTTGCAGGGTGCAGAAGCCGTGGGCTGGGCGGCCCTCGGGGCCCCAGAGGCAGCCTGCCAGTCAGAGGGCTCAGAGGGCAGGTGCAGAGGCCAGGCCAGCACATGCTCACTCTGTGCAGGGCTCAGCCTGGAGCCTGGTGGCTCTCAGAGCCCTCCGTCCGCTGTGGGGCCCAGAGCCTGTGAGGAGGGGCCTCATGTGGGGCCGGGGCGGGGAGCAGAGCCGGACCCACAGAGAAAGCGTGGGGAGCTTGGGAGGCTGGGACTGAGACCCAGCCTGGACATCTGTGAGGACGCCTGGGGTCCCGAGTTTCAAAGGCCTTCTGGCCACCACCACTGGGGAAGGCTGGGAGAGGCAGTGGCGAGGCCCAGGGGCCTGGCCGGGCTTGTAGCCGGACTGGTGAGACACCCAGGAGACGTGGGGGTCCAAGAAACCGGGGCAGGGGGGCTGGGGCTGTGTTCTGTGCACACTTGAAAATAACGCTTTCTGTTTGGACGTTATGCATGTTCAAATACGTCTTATTAAGTCAACCTTTACAAATGTCAACCAAATACTCCACATTGGATCTGTTTCCTGAGTTCATCAAAGCTAGGAGCAATGTGCTGAATTTTGCCATTACAATTTGGGGGGGCAACACCTCATTTATTTCTAAGAGTCTTGGGTTTATAGATTCCCATGGCATGTTCTTCAGAATTTGATGTTTCTCGGCTGCTCTGACTCTTGGCACCTAGAGGACCGGGTGCCGCTGAATGCCATTTGTCTGGAGTTCTGCTGCACCCACCACCAGCAGGCCCCCCCGCCCCTCCCCACATCTTCACTCCGCGCCCCCGCCCTGTATGTTTCCAGTCATTTCCACAGCCTGTCCTTGGCTCTGAGCCCGCCCTGGAGTCTCTGCCTTTTCCAAGGGAATTTATCCCACTTACAAGTTTTGGGGTAATTTCCGTGCTCTGGTTTTCTTTGATTGCTGATAGGATACTTGCTGATTTAATGCTTCCTCATGACTTCCATTCCATCCTTTATTTTAGGGTTACTTGCACCCCCTTCCCTTTCCTGGGGGCAGGGAAGTGTTGACAGCAAATACCTCGCTGCACTGTGCCCGGGGGCGGTGGGGGGGTGTCCTCGCAGCCCCTAGGCTTCTGCACCTGCGTCTGGAGGCTGAAGGAGCTGTCTCTCCGCTGGGGCCCTGCCCTGCCTCCACCTTTCTTCTAAGGGCCCAGTGGGGGTCCGTGAAGGGCCTGCCCCTGAACTTGAACCCCGCCTCCCGTCCACAGACCCCAAGGGCTTTCTACTCACGGCAGCCCACGCTGTATTCCTTTACCCTGCTCCAGCCACCACAGACTGATGGCATAGCCTGTCTGTGAGCTCCCAGTCCTGCAGGCCAGGAGCCCCCCATGGGGCACCCCCGGGCGGGCCGGGCTGCGTCCTCACCTGAGGCTCTTGGCAGAAGCCCCCGCAGGCTCCTGGCAGCCTGCCTCCCAGCTGAGGACCGAGTGGCTTCTGGAGGCGTCTCCGGCCCCTGGCCTGGGCCTTCCCGTGGGCTCTCACAACACAGCAGTGGCAGCAGGACCCTCACACCCAAACCCCCCCACTGCTCCCCGCCACCAGCCCGCGGGGCTCCTGGGGCCAATCATGCCCACCGGGATAATCTCCCCTCTGGTTAATTCAGAGCCAACTGAGTAGGAGCCCTGATCACATCCGCGACGTGATCTAACATGCTCACAGGTAATCTTGGGGCCGCAGGACCCCGGGGCCTACCACACCTGGGGCGGCAGCCAGCCCCGCACATCAGCAGGTGCTCCCCTGTGAGGGGACACGGGTGAATGAGGCTCGCAGCCCATTTCTCTGGGAGGGGGCTGTTTCTACTTCGATGTCTTTTGTTGTTTGCACTGTGACCTCATCCTCAGATGAGTTCAAGAAAGGTAAGTGTGTTGTGGGCTGTTTGAATCGCTCCCTCCAGAGTGGAAGCCAGAAGGCCCGTTTATCTCTGAAATTCAAAAATGTGCCAAAACATTGACTTGCTTCCTCCGTCATTTTATCCTGTGCCTATGGAGCCCTCTCTGCAGAATCAAATCTGTCTTCAGCTGATGCAAGTGATTTCCACTTAAAAAACATTGCTTCTCCCCCTTCCCATTCTTTTTGTCCCAAAATTCACTGCAGCCCAGCCCCGCTCTCCGGGCCTTGTCCTCCTTGCTCCTATCACCCTCTCGTCCCTGGCTCCCCGCCCGTGTCCCAGAGAACTTAGGGTCTTCGTCCAGGTTGGCTGATCTGACTGCTGTCTAATCTAATCCCCGCCCTGGGTCGGTCCTTGTGGTTTTCATCTCGACTGTTCCTACTCTGGCTCCCCCCTTGGCGTCCCCTTGTTGAGACGGTCAGTACACATCTTCGGACACCTGTTCCCATTTCTTGCAATAACTCCGTTCTCTTTTCATTCAAGACCCTAAGATCCGTCCCTCAGATTGACTTTGTCTCTTGAACCACAGTTGATTGCTACCGTCGAGATGTTTTCCCTCTGCCTGGCTTCAAAGAAGGGGGTCTGGGGGCGCCTGGGTGGCTCAGTCGTTAAGCGTCTGCCTTCGGCTCAGGTCATGACCCCAGGGTCCTGGATCCAGCCCCACATCCGGCTCCTGCTGAGCAGGGAAGCCTGCTTCTCCCTCTCCCTCTGCCTGCCGCTTCCCCTGCTTGTACACTCTTTCTGTCAAAAATAAATACAATCTTGGGGCGCCTGGGTGGCTCAGTCGTTAAGCGTCTGCCTTCGGCTCAGGCCATGATCCCAGTGTCCTGGGATCAGGCCCCGCATCGGGCTCCCTGCTCTGCGGAGAGCCTGCTTCTCCCTCTCCCACTCCCCCTGCTTGTGTTCCCTCTCTCGCTGTGTCTCTCTCTGTCAAATAAATAAAATCTTTTAAAAAAATAAAAGTATTGGGGCGCCTGGGTGGCTCAGTCGTTAAGCATCTGCCTTCGGCTCAGGTCATGATCCCGGGGTCCTGGGATCGAGCCCCGCATCGGGCTCCCTGCTCAGTGGGGAGCCTGCTTCTCCCTCTCCCACTCCCCCTGCTTGTGTTCCCTCTCTCGCTGTGTTTCTCTCTGTCAAATAAATAAAATCTTAAAAAAAAAAAAATAAGGGGGTGTGGTTCAAAGTCAGGAGTGGGGAGGACCCACCTGGGACTTCACCTGTCCCTGTCCAGATATTTCAGGCTGACACTGAAAGACAGAAAGGGGAGCCCCCAGGGGCTGTGGGGAGTTTGCGGGGCCGAGGAGGAGGCAGCACCAAGCGGTCCCAGAACTTTCCTGTTCCAGGGACCAGGAGGGTGAAGGCCCCGTTCTCGGGGGGGCACGGCCGGCTGTGGTGGGGGACGTCCCGAGCTCCTCTTCTCCGGCACTTGCCTGCCAGGGGACTGGGGGCCTTGGAGGCCTCCCCTCCAGCCAGGCTCTGCGTCAGCGTCCCTAGGGTTCTGGCAGGTTCCCATGCAAGGCTTCCTCACATGCGTGCAGAGGGCTCGGATGTTGTTCAGATCTTCTCTATCCGTGTTCATTTTTCTCCTTAAGAATTGACTCAATTTTTCAGTGAAGTGTCGGTGCTAAAATCTATCAGCATCATGTCAAGTTGTTCCTAGAATTCTGGTAATTCTCCTATTTTTAGACCAGTTGGTTCCGTCTGCCTCCATCTCGTGGGAACCTCCAAAGTCTCTGGTCTCCAACCCTGAGGGAGGTTTTTCCCAATTTTTGTAACCTGTTGGCCATTGAGGTGGGCACCTGGGAGGGGGATTCAGACCCACCGGAGGCCCAGAGGCCCCAGGCCCTTTTGACGAACAGCAGATCCAAGCAGCAGTGTGTGCAGGGGGCGAGGGGCTCAGGCCCCGCGGCCGCACTCCCTGCCCCCGCCGCCCTCAGCAGGTCAGCAGGCCAGGCCGCCAGGGTGTGCTAGAGTGAGGTCCGCATCTGACAGGGCTGCTTTCACTTTCACGGACCGGGTTTTCCCCCGTTTCACATGAGCCAATGTGTTTGTCAAGAGAAAGTTAATTAAAAACATATTTTTCTAATTAAATGGTAGGCTGTGCTATGCAAACAGTAAGATTCTTGTTTGAGAGCAAATCCCTCCCCGTTTCCAGGGCTACCCTGGGAATTCAGTAGATCAACAATGCAGAACGGGGCCCAGAGCATCAGGACACGCGCCCCACACTGCACGTGGGGGTCCTGCAGGCAGCTGGTGGCCTCCGGGCAAGTGGGGGGCGCGGGCCCACACACACCCCCGGGAGAGGCAGCCGGGGGTGGGGGGTCCTCCCATCAGAGGGGCGAGAGGGGTCCTCGTGGCGCCAACCAAACGGGCCAGAGCCACCCCGCGGCTCTGCACCCGCCCGTCCTCTTCTCCAGAACCCTCCTCCCAGGGCCCCAGCTGAGCGTCAGTCCGGTTCCAGAAGCTCCTGGGCTGGCAGACTGGGCAAGGCAGGCCACACAGGTGGGCAGGGTGCACCCGGCTGGATGCGATGCCCCGTGCCCTGCAGGGCATCAAATTCCTCAGAGTTTCGGTGTTCCGATTATTTTATCTTCATACAGTGGACTGGTGGGCTTTCCATCCTTTTCTGTCGTCTGCAGGACACTGCCCAGCCCAGCTCAGCCGCCCTGGAAGGTTGCGCAGGACTGGCCCGCACCTCCGTCCCCTTGACAATGGTCGCTCCCTCCCCCGCCTCCTCCGACCTTTGCCACCTGCTGGCCTTCCGGCTCCTAATTTTAAATGCATCGCCGAGGCCCCGCACGTGTTGTTTGTTTCACATTTTATTTACATTGGAGTTCTACCTGGAGTTGGAACTCTCTTACGCCGAGGTTCTATCGTATCTCTCTGTGGCCACATCTGTTTTGTGGTGTTGGAGATTTCTGTTCGTTTCTCTTAATTCGACCCGCCAACAGTTCGTCTGTTTTATTGGTCATTTTTCTTTTCTCATTTTTTTTTACCTACAGTGATTCATTTTGGCTTATATTAATATTGTTGTTGTTGTGATTTTCCTCATTTCTTAAACTTAGTAAGTGACGGATTTACGTGCAGGCTTTCTCTCTCAACAGAGCATTTCGTGTTGTCCTGTTTTCCCCACCTGTGGTTTGGTGTGCGTGCCATGGATTTCTGACATGAATTCTTTTTCTTTTTACCAGTTTTCTAGGAGTTTCCCTTTTACCTTCTTAGTGCAAGGGTTATTTAAAATAACGATGACATGTTTGTGTCTCTTTTTTTTTTTTTTGGAACTATGGCTCTTTATTTTCATGTGGACAATTCAAAGTCATCAGTTGTGTCTCTTTCTGTTGCTACCTCTAGTTTTACTGGTGAGAGGGTGAGGCTCTGGGGCATTTGGGATCTTTCAATCAGCTTCTGGATGGATCTGTGTATATGTTCCTGGTTTGTAGGTTGTTGGTTGGTTGTTTGCTTGTTTGGTTTGGTTTTGTCTATTTTTTTACGGTATGATTGGAGGGAAACAGGGCACGCTAATCGCAAAGTTTATGGAGAAGAGTGTATGTTTGAGATTTTTAATGGAAATTTTGAAAAACAATAGTAAAGCTGATGATAAGGCTGGTATGGTCAAAGCAGGAGGGGCTGGGACAAGGATGGACAAACCGGCAGGCAGACAGGGCAGAGTCCAGAGGTGTCCGGCACCAGACCCTGGGCTCCCTGGTCCAGGGGACCGAGTCCCCCTTACATCTGAGCACTGCCTGGTGCTGGGCTCTCCTGGGACTTGCCCAAGGGCTCCCAGAGGGCAGGACCCTGCATGGGGCTGCAGTTCCCACTTTCCTGCGGCTACCTGGACCCTCAGACTGAACATGGGTTTACGAGGCTCGCTGGCCTAGCTCACATCTCGTACGGCACCAGGACTCAGAACCACAGCGACACCAGAAGAGAACTCAGTGGCACAGCAGGCAATGTTCATAAAGGGTGCACCATTCAATTATTACGGTTAATTTTAATTCCATAAAAGTTGAGTCATTACAAGAGGAGCATAATGCTTCACATAAGTGGTTCGGGCCTCTTTAAAATACCATGAAATATTTAAGCCATATTTGAAGGAAACCTCTGCTTTTCTCCTGGAAATGTGCACAAACAGAAAATGGTAGTTTCCAAACTTTCAGGGAAGGCTGAAACCTTGCCGTTTTAGGCACAAGCACTGACCTCCCCACTGTCCATTTCTGAAGCACTAAAGCATCAGACAAAAGGAAGTACGTCCAGGCTCAGCCCACTGCCCCCCTCTGCCAGGGGTCACTCTCCTGCCTCCTCTGAATCCGCCTCCTCCACGAGCAGGGCTACAGTCGCGCCAGCATTTGGGACGACTGATGAGGGACGGGAGGGAAGGCCCCCCAGACACACGGCTGCGAATGCTGCGTTCGCCCGCCCAGACGGGCACCTGTGACTTGAGGGCTGGTACCTGCAAGGCTCATCAGGGGGTCCCTGTGCCTTCTGGCTTTCCTCTCCAGCTCCGCACCTGCTGTCCCTCTTCCTAAACAAGCACCTCTTGCAGCCCCCCACCGCCCCCCTGCTGGCCCTGTCTCCCCTCCCCCAGCCAGACTTCTGGGAAGAGCCGCCCTTCCCTCCACCCTCACACAGACACACACACACGCACGCGCGCACGTGCACGTGCAAAGGTCATCAGCAACATTTGGTCCCATCCAAAGGGTCCCCTTTGGGTCTGTGTCTGCCCAACATTTTGGGGCATTCCATCGAGGGGATTAACCTCTCCCTCCTGATTTCTGCCAGCCCTCTGGTCCTCCCTAGGCCGCCATTTCCTCCTCCCCCCTCTGCTCTAACATCCACTTGAACCGGGACCTGTTCTCTCCCCTCTGGCCTCTCACCACGTCAGCCTCCCCTCCCCTGGCCCTCAGTGCCCTGGGCCTCCAGAGCCACCTGGTTCTGTGACACTGCCCCCCACATCCAGTGACTCCTAGGCAGAACCCCTCAAGACTGAACTCTGAACCTCCACCCCCAAATGCTCCCCCCTGCCCACCTTCCCAGATTGGTAAGTGGGTCCTGGACCACCCCAGCAGTAGAGGCCTGGGAGTCCTTGGCACACCGCCTGCTCCTCAGCCCCCACACGGCCCCTCCAGGCTGTCTCTAAAGTCCAAGTCATGTTCTTCCACTTCTCGCCCCCTTGAGCCCAAGCGACCACCGGCTCCCGTGTAGAAAACCACAGGACTCCCCTTAGCGCCACACCTCTGCCTCCCCACTTCGCCATCGAAGCACCAGCGGGTGTGACCCCTGAGTTTCCAGAGTCCAAGGTACAAGGGGCACTGGCCACCTCCCCTGCGAAACACTCGGAAAGCTTCAATACCCGGAGACTGGCCTGGTCTTACAAAGCCATGTGGCATCACAGGCGAGTTCCCCAGGTGACTCCTGTAGGCTTGTTCGTGCCTGTCTGCTCATAGGACCTCTCCAGGCCCACCGTGTGCCCGCTCCAGGGCCCAGGACACACAACAGGTGCTGTCCTCCTGGGGAAAGCTCAGAGCAGGGGTGACAGCGGCAGCAGAGCAGGGAGGATGGCCAAAAGAAGGCCAAGCATCCCTGCGGGGAAGCCAGCGCAGCGGGGCCCCGGGCTGAGAGGACATCGGGCGGTGCTCCAGGCAAGGAGCAGCAAGAGGCTGTCATTCGAGAGTGAGCAGGGCAGTGGGTTTGAAGGGGTAGCCACGTGCCCTAGATAGTTTTCATCCTGAGGGCCATGGGGAGGTGGTGACACCCCACCTGCGCTCTTCTTGGGGAGGCACCACGGGTCATAGCAAGTCGCCCCGGCTTTGCCCTGGCATCTGAGCCACAGTGCTGCAGGGAGCTCTGCAGCCTGACCCGCTGCCTACCTCTGGAGCCCCCGGCTCTGCTGTCCGTGTCGGAAACGGCCCCGGGTCAGGGCCCTGCTGACTGCACCAGGGTAACAGGTGCGGTACAGAGTGTGCCCTCCCCACATACAGACCAACGTGTGTGCTCGGGCCACCCTATGGAGCCTGTACGGAGACAGAAAGTGGGGGTGTCGCAGGTGCCCAAGGAAATGGTGACGGTTTGGGCGGGCTGAGGCAGAAGGGCCAAGGATGGGGCAGGGGTGTGTGAGTGGATGGAGGGAGGAGAAAGGGCCGTGGGCCTTCCCGGGTGCCTGGGCCGTTGGCGTCTGTGGGGCAGGGGACGGTGTCCTGGGCCGGACGCTCCTGGGCACACAGCAGGGTCAGAAGGGCCGAGGCCGGGGGGCACGTGGTGGTAGATCTCAGAGGCAGAAGGCGGGGAGAGGGGGGCACAGGGGCTCAGCTCAACAGGCTCCATGGGCTCGGGAGGACTCTCATGTTCGTTCCAAGGGCTGGAAGCAGGCGAGCGATGCCAGGTGTGTCCTCTGAGGCCGCTCTGACCACAGCAGAGGACCTGCCAAGTGGAGCCTTGCAGCAAGTCCTGCACCCCAGCCCCCTCCCCACCGTGGTTCCATCCGAAACTGCCTGATGGCTGCAGGTTGTACTTGGCCTGCTCTTGCCTCTTCCCAGCGACCTGCAGCAGGGCCCAAGCCAGCGCCCTGGGCTTCTCCTTCCCAGGGAGCCGTGTTTCCAAGACACCCTCTCCTTCCTCTCCCTAGGAGCAACTGGATGCGCTGCACAGGGCCCTGGATGAGAGCAGAAGGCACGGCCAGGGCCTGGCCCAGAGAGGGAAGCTGCTGGAGGAGCAGGTCGCCCGCCTGCAGCGCAGATGCCGGGAGCCCTTGCCGCAGGTGAGGGGCCCCAGAGGGCGGGGCATTCCCTTTAGGGAATCATCGGTCCCTTGGCGGCCTGAAGGGAGGCTCTGGGAGATGCCCGAGGCAGGGGTTCCCACCTGGAGCCACCCAGACACACGGGGAAACTGAGGCGGGAGCGAGTCAGAGCCCGAGGCCTCTCCGCAGTAAGCGCCCCCACGACAGAGGGTCGGCTGCGGACGCGCAGCTCAGGGGGAGAGAATGAGCGGAGCCTGGGGGCCCGGCCCCCCGAGCGCTCGGCAGCCGCAGCGGTGGCGGGGCGCAGAGCGCAGGGAGGCGCGCCCCGCGGGAGCGGACGCCGCGCACGAGCGGGCCCGCCGGCAGGGGGAGCTCGCGGGGGGCGCGGGGCGCGGGGCGCGGGGCGCGGGGCTGGTGGGCGGGCCCGCGGCTCCAGGGGGCGGGGGAAGGGGCGGGGAAGGGGGCGGGGAAAGGGAGCGTCCGAGGGGGTCCAGGCCGGGCCGGCGGCGGGAGGCGAGGCACAGGCACCAGCCGATTGGGAAAGCGCCCGCTCTGCGGCTGCGCACCCCTCTCCAAGCCCAGGGCCGCCCTGACGCTGGAGGGTGACCCTCCGCACCCCCGTCCCTCGTGGTGACACCCCACCTGCGCTCTCCGCGGGTCATAGCAAGTCGCCCCGGCTTTGCCCTGGCATCTGAGCCACGGTGCTGCAGGGAGCTCTGCGGCCTGACACGCTGCCTACCTCTGGAGCCCCCGGCTCTGCTGTCCGTGTCGGAAACGGCCCCGGGTCAGGGCCCTGCTGACTGCACCAGGGTAACAGGTGCGGTACACATAGGCCTACACGGTGGGAGACCTGGAAGGCACCCGTGGTGAAGGGGAGGCAGGACAGCGAGCCGGCCCCCAGACCTGCAGAAGGAAAGGGAACGGCAGCGAGGCCGAGGGGCCGGGCCCATCCCAGGGGCCCACTGGCCAGGGATTCTGACAGCCACACCGTCCCCAGCTGTGAGTGGATCCGGTCCCCACGTATGAAACAGGTCAAAGCGAGCTATTTGGGTTGAAATTGGGGGTGGGGGTCGCCAGAGCATCTTCCTGGGGCCCAGAGAAAGGAAATGGTGTCCCTGGAACCAGGCAGAACGTCACCCAGGCCCCACCCCCACTTAGGGCTCTGTGGGCCCAGCCCGCGGCTGCCCACCTTGCAGCGGGGCCTCCCCCTCACATCGCCCAAGAGGCAGCTCCCTTGTCCTGGAGGGGCTGCCTCAGCCCCACAGGAACAGGAACAGGGACCAGGGTGTGTGGCAGGCCCACCCGCCGCCTGCCACAGAGGGTACCAGCCACGCTGTGGGCCCTGGGGTTCTGACACCCTCACAGCCCCCTCCAGGGGCAGGCAGGATGGGGACTAGAGCGGGGAATATGGAGGCAATAGGGGAGGTTGGGGTCGGCCTTTGCTGGGCCGACGACCTGGTGTCCGAGGCATCGGACCCTTCCCGCTCAGTGACCCCATTCACAAAGTGAGAAAGCAGGAGTCCTGGCGTTGGGGCTTGCTGAGGGCCTCAGCCATGGTCCCCAGAGTAGGGCGGTCTTCCCAAGGCTTCACTGAGATGAGGATATGGATGTGTCCTGCCGCCCTGGCAGCCTGGCTGGCCGTGACCAAGAACCTCAGTGAGCATGCCTGGACCCCATCTGGGCAGAGACCCTCATCGTCTGTCCCCTCGAGCAGGGGCCAGAAGCCATGTGCGGGGAGCAGGCAAGGCAGGGGCACAGGGGTCTGCAGACGGTGCAGCCCCTCCGACCAGCAAGGTGTGGGAGAGGTGTGCCAATGTGGGCTCACCTGTGTAAAGGGGATCAGACCCAGAAGGGAGGGCATTCCTCGCTCGTGGCTGCCCCGGGCAGCAGTGTCCGGCCAGGGCCTCTCAGAGGCCGCCTCAGATCCGGGAGATCCCCGAGCCGGCCGCTGCATCCCCTGCTCACCAAGACCTGCAAAGACCGGCTTTATGTGGGACACATTCGTCTGGGCACTGTGGCCCAAGGGCAGAGGGGCCAGGGGACCAGACAGCCCAGGCGTGGCCTCACCACACCGAGTCGTAGCCTATGGAATGAATGACAAGGAGGTGGGTGCCCTGAGCTCACAGACTTTGGAAGACGGAGGCCACCGGCCACAGCAGGAGCGGGAAAGGGCAAGGAGCAGCCAGGTCCCCGTGAGAGTGACGGCTGCCTTCGGCCTCCAGCCGCTCTCCGACAAGGACTGGCCAACATGGCCCGCAGGAGAGCAGTGAGGCCCCACCAGGCGAGGGCACTGCTGGGCCTGGAACCGCCAGGGGAGCGTCCCCAAGCATGCATGGACATCTGTCCTGGGGCAGGCCCCAGCCACCAGACACACACTGTCCAGCTGATATGGACTCCGGGGATAAGCGGCTTTTCCAGAGGGGTGTGGCCAGGTCAGTGGGGTGGCAGTGGGGGCAGAGGCCCTGGGAACAGGATCGGGGGCGGGATGCAGGCACAGAGGCCAGCAGGTCAGGAAGTCACTGAAAGCCACTGGCCAGCCAGTCCCTGCAGAGCCACCTGCCCTCCCAGGAAGGAGGGTCGGCCAGCGCCTCTGGTCCCGGGAACGCTGCTCCTCCATGGCCTTTGCTGGGAGCAGTGGCCCAGCCCCCGAGGCGCAGCCCAGGGCAGCAGAGCCAGCTGGGGGCCCCCCCGCAGCACAGGTCGGGGAGGGGAGGACCAGCTAATGAGTTCCAGGAGGTCAGCTGTGAGGGGCCCCCAAACCCATAAACCCTTTATTGGTGTCTCAGGAGGGGAAACCCGGATGTGGCCGTTTATTTATTTTGGATTTCACTTTTCTCTTCTCTTTTTAACATGCACTTCCAGGAGTGTAGCTGGATTTTTAAAGAAACAGGACTTCCTTTTTCAGTGGAAGTGAACTCTTTGTTTTTCTCACCCTGAAGAAGAAAGGAGTCCTTATTTTTGTAATGCTATCCTCCTATCACTGACCGAATAACTTCCCCGGCAAGACAGGGCCACCACGGCTCCGGGCTCTGTGGGACCAGCCCCAGGAAGACACAGAACGGAGGGCTGGCCTGGAGGCCGGGGCCCCCGCCCGGCACAGCACCCACGGGGCGGGCATAGCAGGGCAGAGGAGGGAGCCTGGTTCAGAGAAGGGCCTGGGTTCTGATCCTGCCCCAGCTGCTGACAGGCCCATCGCTGGCCCAGGGACTTCCAAAAGGAGACCATCCCTGTCAAGCACCCACAAGGCATGACCTGGGGCGGCAGTTCCTTCCTCCGCAAGGATCACCCACAAGGGACAAAAGGAGCCCCTACCAGACTTGCCGCTGAAAATGTTTGCTTCCTCGGTCACATGATATTTAACCCCCTGCTCCGTGACTGGCGTGGTGGGGAGGGTCACCAAGAAGGGGCTCTGCTTGGGCAACTTGCAGCTCCAAGGAAGACAGATGGTGGGCACACAGGCTCGCTGGGATGGGGGTCTGTGAGTGGGCAGGGACTGGGAGCTGGCTGCGGGGGCCTGAGTGCAGGGGAACGAGGCTCCGTGAGGCAGGGGGATGCCAGAGCCAGGCCACCCTGTGCTCCTCCTTCAGTCGCCTCCCTGGCTGCAGGGCCTCCCCCAGCCCCAGCCTGCTCTCAGGGGACCCAGAGCCCTCCAAGTGCTTGGAGTGGTGGCTGGCCTGACCCCACACCCCTACCAGGAGACTACCGCAAGTTCTGCTGTCTGGGCTCTTGCAGATGGAGCAGGAGATGCTAAGGAAGGAAGGGGACACGGCCCGGCCAGGGGCCAAGAAGGAATGACCGCAGCAGGACGAGGACAGGGCCCTGAGGCCGAACCAACAGCTGCAGGTCAGCTGGGCCGGTGGAGCTTCCTGCGCCCCGGGCTGGGGGGTGGGCCAGGGGCAGGGAGTGTCCAGGTGCGTGTGGGTCTCAGAAGGGTGCCACACACACCCCCACGAATGTGCCTACACAGATGGGAAGGACGGGCTGGACCGTTCCTACACTGCTCGGCCCCAGACGACAGTGGGGTCTACCAGGGTCACACCTCAAGTCACAGGCAGAGGTGGAACCAGGACCCAGGGCTGATGGACCTCTCCTGGTCTCTCCGAGGCCCCATAGGGGTGGTAGCACGGTCGAGGGACCTCGTGAGCCAGGCACGGACCAGAAGAGGGAGACGTGTGAGAAGCACCGGGTCAGGCAGGCCTGTGGGCAAGTCCAGGGGCTGCCCCTGTGTGGGGTGGGGACGTCTCCTCTTCCCCTGCTGGGCAGACCCCTACCTCCGCACAAGGACTTGGCACGAGGAGCTGGGGCAAGAGTTGGGCTGTGAAGCCACCGGAACCCCCCGGTGCAGCCAAGCAGAAACTAGGACCACTCTCCACTTCCATCCGGTCACTCCCACCGCTCACTGAAGGGCAGAGCGAGGATCCTGGGCCAGGTCATCACCCTCTCTGTGTCCTTAAGGGGAGTGGTGGGGACAGTTCCTGGGTCAGAGGTCACTGTGTCCAGTAGTGCCTGGCACATGGCTGTTGGAGCAGAGGTGGTCCCTGCACCTGTCCTTCAGAGTCAGGAGGGGAGAACAGTGGCCTTGGGCATGGACCTGCCCTGCCCTCCCCCCCCAGCCCTCCCCCCACGCACTTGCTGGAGCTGACCCTTGGGCTCTGAGCCGTCAGACACCTGGGAGCCCTCAGGTCAAAACCCTCATTTTACAGCTGGGGGAACTGAGACCCAGAAAGGTAAAGTGACCACCCAGTGTCACCCCCAAGTTAGTGTCCCTAACCCACCGAGACCCATGTGCCAAACTTAGAAGCCAAAGAGCACGTATTTCCTTATCATCCTGAGTGCTTTCGTGGCCTGAATGGAAGGCGGTCTGTCCTGCAGGCACGCAATGGCCTCAGTCCCCAGGACCTGCACATGTGGGTGGCGTCCCTTTCTGGCAACCAGTGAGCCCGTCCGCCTGCCCGATGTTTCCCTCCCACACACGCCCCCTCTCCTCAGGAGCCACAGAGCTCCGCACAACCCCGTGCCTGGGGGCCCTGGCCTCAGGGTCTGCCCACCCCACCTGAGCTCCTGCCCCATCCCCAGGTGGCCAGTCTGAAGAAGCAGCTGGACCAGGAGGTGTCTCGGCAGCAACAAGCCTGCCTCAGCCAGGCCTCCCGGCCCAAAAAGTGAGCCCTGCTGCCCAGTGCCCCCGGGTGGCCTGCCCACCACAGCCCACCACAGCCGAGAGCCGCCGGGGCCAGCAGAGCCCCCGCCAGGAGAACAGAGGCCCCAGGCTGTTCATTCACAGCCGGGAGCCCACCACTCCTGCCCCAGGGACCCTGTGTCGGCAGGCGCCCTGCAACTCCACTGAGCACAGAGCTCCCCCCGGCCCGTGGGACATTGCTCCAGGACGCTCCTCTGCGGCGCCCCCCGCCCCCCACTGCAGAGAGCCCCCCTGCCAGCCCGCACCCGGCCTGGCACTGCTTCTGCTCGGACGCACGGATCTGGGCAGATCCTGGTCGCCAGGCCCCGTCCGGCCAGCTTCCGTGGCCGCAGGCTGCATTCCATGCCCTCAGCTCTATAAACACGGGGAAACACGTGGAAAATATTTCCACCAACCGGAGCCAAAAACATAATGTCCTGCAAGGCCCGGCCACCACTTCCCTCCGTCCAGAGGCCGCGGGACCTTCCGTATGCAGGAACTGCGGGCCCATCCCTGTGGCAGGTGGCTGGAAGTGACTCAGAAGCAAGTCCCCGTGACTCACTGGCCACGAGAAGCGCTGGCCTGTGAAAGTCAGAGCCCTGACAGAGCCTCCCACTTTTCCAGCCTATAAACTCTGGGAAAATCCCTGCGGGAACCCAGCCCCGGTTGCTGCGGAGACCAAGGCAGCCATCTTGGGCCTCTGTGGGGTTCACCTGTTGGTGCTTTTACTCATTCCCTCATTAACACTGGGCAGAGTGACTTGCTTTCCTCTCCCAACGGCCTCTCTTGCTTTGTAAGCACCGCGCTTACACTACCTCTGTCCCTCCAGAAGCTCCCTGGGGCACCTGTTGACAGACGAGGAGGAGACGGGGCCTCCACAGGCCTTGCTCTGGACCAAGGCCACAGGGCAGTCAGCAAGAGGTCAGGTGAAGCCCAGAAGCCCCATGTCCATGTGGTCAGTGAGGCCACAGGCCCAGCGTCCTGTTGGCTGGAGGACGGAGATGGGCTAAGGGCACCGAGCAAGGTGAGGCCCAGTGCCTGGGGTGCTGGAGCCCTGCTGGGCATCCTCCTGTCCTCACACACACCACCCACCCCACCCTCCTGGAGGTGAGGTCCTGGGGCGGGGGCCAGGCCAAGCGTGCAGGGGTTGGGGCTGGACGGCTGCCCATGCCCTCCCTGGAATCGGAGGGGAAAGGCTCACAGCTTCTTCCCTGGCCACACTGCGTGGAGGCCTCCAGCCTGGAAGAGGCCCAGCAGCCCCAGCATCCGTCTGGGGGTCATCAGCCTTGGACCAGTCCTAGCTCCGCACCCTGCAGCTGTGCAGTCCTGGACAGGCTCTCTAGTCTCAGTTTCCTGTAAAATGGGGCAACTCCACCCCAGAGGGGCATGGTGAGTCCTCTATGAGGTACTGCCCAGATTGGCACCATTATGAGCTCTCGGCACTTGGGGGCGGCACCATCACCCTGGAGCCCCTGTGGGTGGGGACCACCAGGCATCGCCAGGCATCTGGAGCTACAGCCTTCCCGGGCGTCAGAGAACTGGCCCCACGCCCACAGCGGGGTGGGAGTGAATGAAGGCGGGGACCAGGAGAGCCATAGAGAAAGCGCCACTCCGGGAGCCCAAGGAAGGCTGTGGTTTCCACAGCATGGACCAGGCAGGAGAGGGTGAAGGAGCACCCTGAGGGGACAGGCCCTGGCCCCCCGCAGCGCCCTGGCCTTTGAGGGAGGCTGAGGCTTCCACGGGGCCACAGCTGGAGCAGGAAATGGGCCACAGGACCAAGGAGGCCAGCTGGAACCAGGGTCATTGATATTCAGGTTTCTAAAACATTAATATTTTTCAAATAACTGCAAATAAAATTTTAACCAAAAAAAAAACGTATAAAAAGAAAACCACCACTACCCATAACCCATCCTAAAATCTGGGCATTTCCTTCTTCTGGCACGTGGGCAGGCCGATGGCTGTGGGTGCTGTTTATGCTGCAGATGCTACGTCCGATACTCTTTCTAAAGACTCTTGGTTGATGTTTTACCGTTCGGTTCTTCCCATGTCATTAAAAATGCCACAGAAGCATGATTTCATCAGCTGCCGAACCTCCCAGCAAAGGGACAGGCCTGGGCCACCTAAGTGCCCTTCTGTGGCGGCCGTCCCTGGCGGCTGTGGAACAGTCGGGAAGTGGAGTCTGCCCTGTGGGCCGGAGGAGGGGGGGCGGGGCGGGGGAGACGGATGAGGCTGCCTGTGGCGGTCCGAGGTGTGTCTTGTCACCCGAAGGGAAGAGAGAGCCAAACCTCAGCCCACCTGTAATCATTTTTGGCCTCTCCCTGCCAATTCTCCAGCTCAAAGTGTTTCTAATTCCTCTCTGTTTTTTAATAAAATAAAGCAGCAGTGAGCATCCCGGGAAGGAAACGTTGAACCCCATTCTGGTCATTTCCCTAAGATCAAGAGCAGAAGTCCCGTCCTGGGTGTCCAGCTGTGTGGGGGCTCCACGGAGGCGGCACCCCTTGCCGCACATTAGGGGAGAAGCCAAGTGGGCCCAGGACTCCAGGACTGTCCCTTCGTGTGAGGGGTGCTATGCACCCCGAGCCAGGTGTGCTCATCCCTACCTCAGTGGAACAGCTGTGCCAAGACTCCATCCAGCCTCACAGTGTAACAACCAGGTCCACACGAGATGGACTCAACCTGCCTTTCCGGGCCCTATAACCTCCTAGCCTCGTTCCCAGCGCAGGTGGGAGGGGGGTTACCTGGGGCTGGGGCTGCTGGTTTCACATACGTGGAAGAATCAGCTGCTCCAGGGGAGATTATGCTCAGCCAGCTGCCCCTGGAGAGAGAGCTCTGGGAGGTTCAGCCAGCCAGGCTTTGCCGTTTCTGCCCCACTCGGAGCCCTGCTCAGGGTCCCTATCCCAGCCCTGCAGGGACCAGCCAACCAGGCCAGGTGCGTTGTGGGGAGGGAGACTGCCCACCTTGCCCTGAATGGAGCCCCAAGTCCTAGGGTATCCCAAGGTCGGCTCCGGGGCGCCCCCATCGAAAACGCAAACATACTCAGGCCCTAAACTAAAATGTCACAGGTCTGCTGGGGAGGCTCAGATTTCCTGGCCGCGGAACATGAGCCTGCTTGATAAAACGATTTTGGTTTTGATAAATGTGGACTTTCTGTGGCAGAGACAAAGGCGCCCTTGAGTCCAGAGGGGAACCTAAAACGGCACATTGCTGAAAAGTATTTCCTGATAATATTTTTAGCACCTGAAAAAAAAAAAACATTTTTTCCCTCTTTTTTTGCCTGTGGAGTTGTGTGGGGGTTTTTTTTGTTTTGTTTTGGGGTTTTTTTTTTTTTTTTTTGAAATGTAATGCCCAACTGTGGCGGGGCCTCATGTTAACCCCCAGTCTCCCAGACCAGGTACAAACTGGCCGAGGGTGAAGAATGCAAAGAAGCAGCAAGGCAGGGGCCCCAAGTAAGCACAGCCTCGTTGGGGGCCACGACCCAAAGGTCTGCCTGTGGCTGGCTCTAGCCTAGACCCACAAGCACCTGCTCTCTGGGGTGGGGCCTAGGCCTGAGCACCTCACAGAGCCGCCCCGGGGACACACTTGAGCGGCGTGGTTGGGACCTGTGTAGACCAACCACCCCCACCATGTCCGGAGAAACAGTCCCTTTCTGGGTGCATCTAGTGGGCACTACTGTGTGCCCATGGGTATGCTGGGCTCTGGGGCAGCCCTGCTCCCCACAAGCCCCCAAGTGGACTCAAATCTAGCCCAGAAACGGGCCTTGACTAGCTTCTCCTGACGCATGTGCTCAGGAGAAGGTGCTAAAGAGGCGCACGTGGGCCTGTGCACATGTGTTGTGTCTGTGAGCAAGTGTGTGTGAGCACATGTGACTGAGTGTGGGTGTGTGTTGTGTCCATGTGTGTGAGAGTGTGTGTGCATGTGTGTGTTTAAGCGAACATGAGCAAGTGGGAACGTGCCCTTCCTCCCCAGGTTCTTGCCGAGAGCTGTGTGAACTTGGGATTCTGTTCCCAGCACAGCCCCAGCCATCAGATGTCATCTCTGACTTTCATCCTCCAAAGATGGGAGGGCTTGACCTTTCTCATCCTTCATTGGAACCATGCAGTTGTCCTGCATGGGTCCCCAAGGGTCCCCAAGGCAGGAGCCTGGCCCCGGGGCTGGCCCTCTCGCAACCGAGTTCAGTGGAACTAGAGAGAAGTTTCAGGGGAACTTGTTCTGGGGGGGCGGGTACCAGTGTGAGGTCGGCCCCAACTGTGGCTGCCTCCTTAAATCCCAAGTCTGCCCCGATTCTAGCCTACACCTGTAACCCACAGAGTCAAACCATCGCACTCTGAGGACTTGTCCACTATTTCTTCAAAACTGCATTAATGTTCCTGGCTAACTGCAGAACAACACTTGCTCACTGAATACATTTTAGGACATAAAGAAAAACACAGAGCCAGACATAAAAGCTCCCAGAAACTCAGTGGTAGTGCTGGCTCTTTCTGCTTGTCTTTGGTGGGTGCACAGTTGTCTTTTGGAGCTCCAGGCTTGGCTCGCAGTCACATATCCCCCAACACCAGATTCTGAGAGCAGGGGGAATGGGGGAGGACCCTGCACTGAGCCTGAGCAAGGTGTGAGGTCAGTGGTCCCAGAGGCGGGAGAAGAGCTGGGATGGCCACGAGGTGGGGACACGGAATCTGGATTGTGGACTCCACCCACCAGGCCCAGGAGCATCTATCCACTTGCCCCCAGCCCACGTGGACTTGTTTTCCCCCACTGACAGCCGCCTAACCCAGGAGTCTGCTGGAGATTCTCTTGCTGTGAGGTTCCCTTAGGACCCTGAACCTGTCAGGAAACCTCGCCAGGGATTTCTCCTGATGTGGCTGTGCAGGGTGCAAATACCTCGTCTAATGCCCTGAAGTCCCCCAGGCCAGGGGCCCTCACAAAACCAGACCGGAGCCTCACCCCCAGGGCCAGGAGCAAGTAAGTGTCCACAGGCTCAAAGCTTGGGGAGCTGCATGGGGCTGGCCTCTGGCCACTTCCACAAGGGTATCCAGGCACTGTTAAGCCGAGTGGCCCCGACTGACAACACTGGGGATGACCGGGTCCCCAGGCAGGGCAAGGACCCAGACCCAACATCTCAGGCAGGTCTTAGGGTCTGTGTTAGAACTGCTGTATGAGCAAGGCCCCTCCTCTGGGCCCGCCCTAGTCTGGCGACTGGGGACCCACGGAGGAGGAGGACAAAGCGCTCGTCCGCGAAGCGCTCACCTCGCCAAAGCCTGGGACCAGAGAGCCGCGCCTCCCCGCCAGCGCAGGCCCAGGCGGGCGCGTCCTGAGCGCCCCGGCCCTCCCGCGGGGCCTGGCGCTTTAAGAGCGGTCTTATTTGCATGACCCCGCCCAGGCCCCGCCCAGGCCCGGTGACCGCCCGGCTGGATATTTAAATCGCGGCCGCTGGGGCGGGGCCGGCCCTGAGCGCGGTCCCGCCCGGCGCCTTCCTTCGCGGAGCGGCGACCCGAGCGCGGCCCGGCCGAGCGCGCGGAACCCCACAGACTGCGCGCCGCGCTCCTCGCACCCCGCCCGCCCCCGCCGGCTCCAGCCCCGCACGCGCCGCCAAGCCCTCGGTCCCCGCCGCGTCCCCGCTCCGTCCTCGCTGCGCCCCCGCTGCGCCCCCGCTCCGTCCCCGCTGCGCCCCCGCTGCGCCCCCGCTCCGTCCCCGCTGCGCCCCCGCTCCGTCCCCGCTGCGCCCCCGCTGCGCCCCCGCTCCGTCCCCGCTGCGCCCCCGCTCCGACCCCGCTGCGCCCCCGCTGCGCCCCCGCTCCGTCCCCGCTGCGCCCCCGCTGCGCCCCCGCTCCGTCCCCACTCCGCCCCTCTGTGCTCCGCTGCGTCCTGGCCGCAGATCCCCGGCGATGCAGCGCGCCGCCGCCTGGGCGCTGCTCTTGGCCGCGGCCCTGGGGCTCGGGGTGCGCGGGGTGCGCGGCGCGGTGGCCCTCGCCGACTTCTACCCGTTCGGCGCGGAGCGCGGCGACGCTGTCACCCCCAAGCAGGACGACGGCGGCTCGGGGCTGCGGCCGCTCTCCGTGCCCTTCCCGTTCTTCGGCGCCGAGCACTCCGGACTCTACGTGAGTAACCGCGAGCTGCGGGGACGCCGGCGAGGGCGCCGCGCCCCGCCGCTGCCCGCCGCCCGACTCCCGCCGCCGCCGCCAGCAGCTTGGCACCGCGGCGGCCAGAGGTGGAATGAGGACAGCGCTGCCTCCCGCCGGCGGCCAAGGCCGGACAGCGGCCCGCGGGAGAGGCGGGCGGGGTGGGGTTCGGGCTGCAGCCGGGCCACCTGGGCGAGGGGAGCGCGGCGCGCCCCGGCCGGGCCTCACCCGCCTGGAGCCTGGGCAGCGTGCGCGGACCGCGTCCGCCCCGCGGCTGGTCCCCAGCGCGGCGGGGGGAGTCCTGGCCCTGCCCTGGGTCTTTCGGGAACAGCGGTGTGGCGGCAGCCACGTGCTTTCCGGGGCCTCGTTCCCCGAGTAGGGCACCTGACCCTTTCAGTTCCTCCCCGGGCCTGCCAAGGCCTCCTCCTCTCTCCTGGCCACTTAGGCCCCGCCCCAGTTGACGCCTAAGGCGCACTGCCGGGAGGCTGGGACCCCTGCCCCAGGCAGTCAGGGCAGGGCCTGCTTCTCGGCAGACCACCTCTGCGTGCGGCGGTAGCCGGAGTAGGGTCCCCGCTGGCTGTTGTCTCCCTTTCTCCCTTCCTCCTGAGTCCAGGAGCTGGTCACTCCCAGGAGTGCGAGCTCTGGGGCCAGGGGCTCAGGACAGCAGGGACTGAAGGACAAGGCCCGGGTGCTGGTCCTGTGTCTGCTGCTCCCAGGGTGGGACCCTGGGCCACAGAGGGCACGAAACATTCTGTCTCATCACTGTCCTGCACCTTTACTGTAGGAGGGCCCCTGGGCACTGGCACCCACCATCCCTGAATCGAGGCTAGGAAAGTGTTGCGCCAGCCTGAGGGTGCCTCCCCTTACGTCTCACACCGTCACCCCAGGCACGACCTCGGCCATTTTCAGTACCATCCACCACCACTGCCGTCAGCACCGTCCCCCCCGCAGCACCACCCCCTGCGTGCCCCCATCCACGCGGCCTCCTGCTCTGTCAGCTCTCTCCTCCCCACCACCTTCAAGGCCGGCCACCTCCACCACCACTCACATCTTTTGCACTGTGGACATCCTCACCCAGCTCTGTCCCAGTGGCCTCCACCAACATCAGGTGCTCCCTCCACCAGTGGCCATGGCACAGCCTGGCCATGGCCTCTCCCCGCACCTGGGCAGCAGCATTTGGTGATGGCAGAGGTGGGAGGGGCAAGCGTCCTCTCTGTAGATGCCACCCTGCGGAGAGTCCCCCTGGGCCAGGGCTGACTTCCAGCAGTATGTGGTGGACAGCACGGCGCCGTGCTCAGGGGCTGCAGGGGCCAGAGGAGGCCCTTGCATCTTAGAAACCATTTTCACAGAACACTGTCAAAAGATTCTGTAAGCATCGGGGCCAGGCTCAGCCTTCCTATCAAAGTCGCAGGTGAAAATATTATTAAAATGGTTGACCCTCTTAATAGCCTCACCAAAAACATCTACCCTTGCCAAAACAACTGTGAGAAATGGCTCTAAGGCGGAAAGATCTACTAGAAAAACAAATCGTTTCATCAGAAACGAACATTATGGCCACTAACAAAACATATATCTTCATAAAAGCTTTTTCCTGAAACAAAGAGAGTATCGGAAAAACACGTGCCCGTGCGGACACAGTGGGCACGCTGTGCCTTCTCTTTCTTCAGTGAGAAAGACAGTGGAATTCCTGAGGGAGCAGAGCCCTACACCTGCCTGGCAGGACCGTGAGGGCGCTGTGGTCATGCAGGAGCAGGGCAGCGGGTGGGAGGCAGGAGAGAGAAGGGAAGGTATTTGTTCCATAGCACGCGATCTGGCCAGTGCCTCCCGTGCCCATCCAGTGCCTGCACCTGGACGATCGGAGGGCAGATGGGGAAACTGAGGCTCAGAATGCCGATTCCAGGGCCTTTAGACCACCCTGTCCAGCTGTCTCCTCACCCTTCCATCTCAAACTTAGTGGGACCCAAACAGAAGTCCAGCTTCCTCCCTGGACCCACTGTCGCCTTTTGCTGCCTCCCTCCTTTCCCTTGTCCCTTCATTGTCGAGGCCTTGGAAACACATCCCACTTCCCAGCGTCTGCGCGGTCCCAGCCCTGGGCCTGGCCACCGTCCCCACTCGCCGGGATGCGTGTAGGTGCCTCCTGGCTGGCCTTGGTCTCCTGGCCCTGCCCCTCGAGCCTGCCCGTAGGAGCACTGCCAAATGTGAATGAGATCCTGCTTCTCCTTTCAGCCCTTGCCTGCCCCTGGCCTCGAGGCTGGGTGCTTTGGCCCCCTGCACACCCTCCAGCCCCCTGTGCTCCAGCCACACAGAGCAGGCCACGCTCAGGGGTGGCGCTTGCTATTCCTGCGGCGGGGGACTCTTCCCCAGACATGCAGGTCTCGACAAGGGCCCCCCACGACCCTCCTGAACTCTGTCCCCTGTGCTCGCCCCTGACCCCACCTTGGTTGTTTCCTTGCTTGGTGTCCGCCTCCCGCCTGTGGACCTGTGTGTCCTGCAAGCCACGTCAGGATGAACTCGTAGCAGGTATCTATGTCTTCTGATAGGAGGCAGTGGACATGGCACCCGTGTGCATGCGTGTGTGTGCGTGTGTGTGCACACGTGTGCACACAGCGGACGCATTTCCCGGCTCTGTCCGCTCAGGGAAATGGAAGCTACGCTACCCCATAGCGCTGAGCACTCTCCTGGTGCTCGGCTCCTGGTTGCCAAACGTCAGTCTCCCCAGAAGGAACTAGGGCTCTGTGGAGACGACTCGGCCCAGGCAGGAAAGTGCAGAAGGAGCTGCAAATGAAGCACATTCGAAGTAGGACGCACTCCAAGAATGGTCGGGATGTGGCAGGGGGACACAGAGGCCATCAGAGGGGCTCTCTGGCCATACGGGGACAATCGGAGCTTGAAAAGAACGGTAGCAACAGGTTTCCATCCTTTAGATAAAGAGGGAGCCAGGGAGCTCGGCTGGTAGGAGTCAACAGTGATTACACATGTGAATGAGGGAAGCCGTGTGGGCAGCTCCTCATCCAACTTCGCTTTCCTGACTCGGGCTCAGCACGTGCGCTTCCAGCACAGAGTGTCCTTGGTCGTGTGTAGAGGTCGTCGTGTCTGCCCCTTGCTCTCAGGCAGCTCAGGAAACGTTGTGTGCAGGCAGACAGACAGACAGAGGAGGGGAGAGCCTGCACCCGGCGCACATCCGAGCGGCGTGTAAGTGTGGATCAAGTAGGAGGACGCTCCTTGCTGTGTTCTTGCAGTTTTTCCATCAAAGCAGAGTGAATGCCTGAATGTTCTCCTGCTGAGAAGAGCCTTCTGTGTGTGCTGCCCAGCGCACCTGGACGCACACCCGGCCCCCGGGAGGCCAGCCTGGCCAGCTGGGAACGACTCCGGGGTTCCCGCCCCTTAGCATGAAGCCAGAACTTCGGAGCTAGACGCGAGCAGCTTGCCAAACCCTGTCCCTCCACACAACTCACCATCAGAACCTGGTGCATTCATTCTGCATCGACGTGTTCATTCATTCATTCCACATCCTCAACCAAGCCCTTGCACTGAGGCAAGAAATAGCAGTGGTGCTTTGGTTTTAGTAGTAAAATCATTTCTGGGAGCACGTGGGGGGCTCCGTCAGTTAAGCGTCCGACTCTTGGTTTCAGTTCAGGTCATGATCTCAGGGTCACGGGATCGAGCCGCACATTGGGTTCTGTGCTCAGCGTGGAGTTGGCTTGAGACTCTCTCCCTTCTCCCTCTGCCCCTCCTCCCCCTAAGACAAACTCACTTCTATTTTGTTCACTGTGCTGTCCCAGCTTCCAGAAGAGAGCTAGCTCCTGGAAGCTGCTCTGCCGATGTCTGTTGTTCGTTTTCTGATCAGTGGGTTGATACATCCATAATCCCACCGTCCAAAAATAAGCACTTTCAACATTTTGCTGAAATTCTTCTTGATCTGTTTTCAAGCATACTTAGGGTCCTACAAGACAAATCTGGGGCTGCTACTTCATACAATTCCTATTTCCCATATTTCTTTCACTATTTTATGCCATGAGCATTCCCCATGCCTTAAATTTGTAGAAACATGCTTTCTGGGGACAGTCTAATATTCCATCCTGTGGCTCGATCATGATTATTTGAATGGGTTGCTCCGTTGACTGTTGATTGAGTTGGTGGTCTCAGTGGTCCCCATGAATTAATGATGCTGTGGCGCAGGTGAACCCTATCCATGTCTTTACACGGGGCTCCCGTCCTTTCCTTATAATAAATTCTTCCAAGTGGGATGACTGGGTCTGAAGGAATGCATCTCCCTACTGCCCCCTGCCACCCAGAAGGGCATCCTCATTGGCACCCTCCTCTCCTGGCCCCCAGGGATGCTGCTCCTATGGGTCGGTGAGCAGGCAGGGGGGAAGGTAACAGGCTGGTTTCTCCCCATCCCTCATCTCGGGGGCGGGGAGGGCAGCCTTAGAGCCTCAACATCCATAAACTGGTTCTTTACAAAGTGAGGCGAGTCGTTCATTAAACACCTACTCTGTGCGTAGCCACTGCCCTGCTCCCCAGCCCCAGGACTCAGCTGAGACACAAGTCTGAACTGCGCAGGCTGAGTGCAGGTGGGAGGAGTGGGAATAGGACAGGGTCCAGGCTTGGGTCCCTGACCCCAAACCCTCCGCACAGCAGAGCAGCCCGGGACCACACTGTCCTCCAAGCTGGTCCGGGGGTAGACCAAAGCCAGCACAGTCCCTCAGACCCTTGTAGGCTACTCTGGTCAGAGGGAGCATGGGCACAGGCAGCTTCAGAGGCTTGCTGGGGACGGGGTCTGGGATGAAGCTGGGGCCCAAAGGAGTGACTACTGCCCCCAGAAGAGGGACTGGCAGGGTGAGAGTCTGGGTGTACATGGGGAGCAGGGACACGCCAGGTTTGCATTTGGGGTGCATCTCGACTGTGGTAGCTATAGGATGTCGGCGGACCCCACAAGGGTTGCAGGGGTGCAGGGTGGCCGAAAGGAGGCACCTCTG